GATGAACCGCGCTCGCCTCAGATTCCAATCCGGTCGGACCAGGTCGGGCGACCCAAAAGGTCAGTTTTGTCGGGGAAAAAAATGCAGTTTGGATAGGCGCGAGCGTTATGAGGGGAGAGGAGAGAAGAAGAGAGGACATGGTTGTGAAAGGACAAGGAAGTCAAAGAGAGATATGGTGGAGATGAACATGACTTGTGAGATCTGACTGGGAGGTCGAAACTCTTGAGGAGAGGACACCATTGCTGCATGGGTAGTTGGGCAGAGTGAGAAGAAGAAAAGGGATAGAAGGTCAGCTTTTGATATCATTGACCAGCATGCAATGCTCAAACATCATCGTGGACTTCCTCAACGTCGTGACACTCAGGAGGGCAACCTTCATCTTCATCGCCCGGACTCTCGCTTGCTTCAAGGTGCTCTCCCTGGCGTACTTCGTGTTCTGGTCCTACAGCAGTGGTAGATGCTTCCGTCACCTCACTGGCACTGTAGGGGTAGTTGTGCTCGCTCCTCTGATCTTCTGCTTGTTGCTGTTCGGGGTGGAGGTGCTCTTTTGGATGTACTCCCTCGCCAGGAGGATGTTCACCCGCATGTTCGTTCAGAGCCAACTAGACGCGAACCGCAACCTGCTCGCTCTGTGTACTCCGCAACTCTGCATGGCGCAGAAGAAGCGCATCAGGGAACTGAACACTCTGACTGATCTCGGTATCCTGCTATGGCTGTTAGTAGTGGTGGGAATCTACTTCGAGATTCAGAACAGTCAGGCGGCAACCAACTGTCAATACCGGCAGGATTACGGCAGTGGATACGACGGTGTGACTAGTTGTGTCATCTGCAGCTTGCAGCCTTTAATAGGAGCATACGCTTGCTTCCTAGGGGTGTCGGTGGGAATCATCTTAAAGACCGTCGTCCTTGCTTCTAAGGGAGATTTCACGCTACAGTCACGAGTATTAGAGAACATCCTTCTCAACAAGTCAAGCGTCAACAACGTGTTCTGGGCCTGGGTCTCCTGCAGTGAGCTGCGGCAGCTCTACTCGTCATGCCTGGCAGGCTTGCTCTTCCTGCCTGCCCTTGCTCTGGTAGCAGGAGTGTTCGAGGTGGTGCCGGCTGACCTGCAACCCGTCTTAGCTCCCATCGTGCTGGCCCTGACCGGGGTCATCCTGCTGATTGATGGAGGAATCTTGTACCTTCCTGTGCGGATCTTCTCCTCCCTGTTCGCCTCCGGGGAGCCCTTTATCTCACGGGACGTTGTGTCCATGATCTCCAGGCCAAGGCGCAAGGTCGTGGCCTCGTTCCTCTGGTTCTTGTCAGTGCCATGGATCGGCGGCTGCCAGCTGGCTGACCTGGGAGCCCTCGGGGGTATCAACCACTTTGCGGCTGCCCTGCTCGTCATCTGCGTGATCTTGACAGTTTTCTTGTTCCTGGTCAGAGATCGGGAGATGTCCGTGGAGGAGGTTCTGAAGCGCGAGACTGTGGACCACTTCGGACTGATCCTGTCCAAGACGCGCCTGGTCGCTGAGTTCTCGCGCATCTTGGAGGAGAGCAAGGATGGGCCTCCAGTTGTAGAGCACGGGGTGCGCATCCCTACCTACCTTGCCAGCCAAGACAGGATAGACCTGTCGGCGGTGATCAGCTACCGATGGAGTGATGAGACTATGTATAAGAAGATGTCTCCGGATGCCCAAGCGCCACGTTGCTACAAGATTCGCCTCCTGGACAACGAGGGCTTCGACTGGACCGTGACGATGGTGGAGCCGATGCTCGAGGGGATGGTGCAGGCACTGGATGGCAGGAGCCAAGAATATGTCTGGATGGACCAGTTCTCGATACCTCAGGTAAACCCTGCTGGAAGCCAAGAGCACGAGAGGGTGAAGGAGGCGCACAGGAACGCGCTGATCCCGCGCATGATTGGCCTCTTTTCTTCCGGGGGCATCGTCGTGGCGTTCAACAACACAGGGGACTCAAGGATCTTGGAGCAAGATTGGTATGAGAGGCGCTTGTGGTGTGTGCAGGAGTACTCGTTTCCAGAGAGCATCGTCATCCAAGACATCAGCAACCGAGGAGGGGGAGGGCGCGAGGAGGAGATCTCGATGAAACGCAAGAGGTTCAACCAGCTCTGGTTCAGATTGACCGAGCGCATCCGCTCCAGCCAAGTCGTGGACGAGCGGGAGGAGGGCAAGGCGCTGAAGATCCTGCTCGATTGGGACCACACCTCCAGCAACTTCCCTGGAGACGTCCAGCTGAGGGTGTCAAAGATTGGAGCTGAAGACTACCTCGCCAACGCCAGGAAGCTAAGCGCGTCGAATCGCAACGACGTGCTGCCGGCACTGGCACAGGCTTGGTTTGGGATCATCATGACTAGAGAAGAGACAAAATTACAGCTGGTAGTTTCCATCATCCGCGCCTTCTTCGAGACGAGCGGAGAGCTTCTTCTCGACGTCATCTTGAACCAAGAGGCTGCTGCTGGCGTGCTGCCTTCCTCCGGAACCATGTGCGTCGATCGCATGCTCGCGGATTTTCCCGCGGGCCTGGAGAAAGGGGAGGCGCAGCGTGTGCAGATCTTGGGTGTGCAAACGACACAGGAGAGGCAGGACGGGCAGGCAGACTTGCATGTGTTCACTGGAAGACTTGTGTCGCCTGCTGGGTTTGAGGAGTGGAGGACAAGCTTGCAGTGCATCAGGGAGGCGACGAGCGTGGAGGAAGGCGGGAAAAAGTTCCGCTTGCTAAAGATGACGGTCAGTGCGCAACACCCATCGGAGCCTCGGATAGGAGCAGAGGAGCTAAATACAGTAGAATTACATGAGTTCGAATGTTTGTAACAACCAGCCTTCCTATCACATCGTCTTTCTGGATGTTCAGTCTGACGTGACCGGACACTTCACTCATGACGGCACTAGGATCATGCTCTATTCCTGCGGTGGTCGTCGGACTTGTCGTACCGTACTACAGCCTGAGGGCAACGCCCCGTCAGAGTGGTCACAGGCTCTTCCATGTTGAGCAGCGGCAGCCGATGGCCGGCGGTGGGCCTGAGCCTCGTAGCGGCCCTGCCTCATAGCAGCCCATGTACGGTCACACTGCCCCAGCTGATGTAGCCAGCAGCAGGGCAACAGCTGGACTCGGCTGAGCCCCCCGAGCTTGACCGACACTGTGTAAGGGCAACTCTGGTAACTTACAGGAAGGGCAAGAAGGAGCCGGCTGAGACGGGCAGGGATCGGATCTCGTTTCTTGGCTGATCAGATCGCCATCTCGAGGTCCCTTTCATGCCGCTCAGAGGCTGACCCTAGTCTCCGGTAGGCCAAGTTGGTACGTTTTCCCTCCTGCGCCTTGCGGCCAAAGTGCCAGCGAGTAATCACGATGGCGAAGAGAAGGAGGACCAGGACCAGGGGGAGCAGAGGGAGAAGAAAGAAAGGAAAGTCAGGCTCGGGCCTGATGCAAGTTGTGCTGCCCAGCGTCTTATTGTCGTATGGGAGCTCCCATCGTTCAACCCGCCGTGTCAACCCGAGGAGCTCAACCAGGCGCCAGTACAAGCTCAGCATCGCCTCAGCTGGATACACGAGGAAGAAGGAGAAAACCACGTGGATCGACGAGTAGAAGACGCGGACGCTGGGGTCGACGGCCATCTTCGAGTAGCCCAGCCTGTGGAAGTCAACGGCATACAGCAGCGACTCGCTGCTCGGCTCACACTCGGGCCATCGGATCTCCTTGTAACTGATCGGACGAAGGTGGAGGAGGCGACCGCTGAACTCAGCTGGAGCCCCAGCTCGAGGGCGCACGACCTGCCCCTGCCCGTCTGCCTCAGAGTAGAGGTATCGGCTGCCGTTGGACACGACCAGCACCTGCGTCAGGTTCCCCGCCCAGAGCACACCGACCTCGTCCTTCCCTCCCGCTGCGAGCTCGTACATCCTCGGCCCGTCGACAGGAGACGAGCGGCCAGCATGAAAGTGCAGGAGCTCCCCGGTGACATCAGAAGGATCCGAGGGGGGAGAGCGCAGGAGCAGGACGGCGCTGTAGAATTGCTGCCCCGTCCTGAAGCGAACTTTGTGCTTGCTACCGAAGGGAACGGCGTTGGCGACAAACATTCCGTTCCAGCAGCTGCCGACACGGAAGGTCCTGGAGTTGACAGCAGCAGACAGCGAGGTCAGGCTCGCATCCGACTTGTGTACCCACGGGTAGAAACCTGAGAACGGGCCCAGGCTGTCTGACCGACTCACCCAGGTATCGTAGAAGTTGTACATGTAGTCCAACCCGCAAAGAGCGTCGTAACCCTCCTTCCTCTGCTCGTGCAGCAACTTCATCGCGTCCTTCACCGTCCACAGCACGTCGTTGATGAAGAGAATGGCGTCGACATGGTCAAGGACTTCGAGGCCCAGCTGCTCAAGCGCCTGGTTGCGGGCCCAGGAGAGCCGAACGATCCTGTTGGCCTTCTGCTTCTCCTCGGGCATTTTCCCGTTGTGCTCTACGACATGCTTGACCCCAATGGTCTTGAGCTGCTCCGAGAGCTTCTGAAGCTCCGGCGACGTGACGTCATCAGTGTTCTTGTCGCTCCACACGCTCACCAGGAGCTCCCCTCCTCTCTTCTTCACGCACTCCGCCAGGCCCACGACTGACTTGCGCCATGCAGGAAGGACGAGGTTAGCGTTGCGAAGGATGGAGCATAGAAGAATCCTCTTGCTGGGGAGCAGACGAGGGCAGTGGTCCGAGGCAAACATGAGCTGCTGGCCCAAGTTGTCGAAGTTCTTGAAGAACACCATCGATGTCAAGACGACCGAGACTAGCAGGTAGCATGCAAAGAACACCATGAAGCATCGGAACGACTGGTGAAGGTTCGCCACGTTGAGCCTCGCCGACCATGTCATATGCCCTGATCCCACATCATCCGTCCTCAACCTGCTCCTCCTCGTCTCAACCATCGCAAGGTCGTCAGGAGCAGGAGACTTGGTGTCGCTGGTGGGGGATCAAAATCGACCCACCCCTCTTCTCTCCCTTCCTGCCTCGGGTGCCTGATCACGCTAGCAGATCTCAAGGATCTTTCATTCTTATCAAAACCCTCTTTGTGTCCCCTCCCTCCCTCCCTCCCTCCCTCCCTCCCTCCCTCCCTCCCTCCCTCCTCTGCGTCCTCCCACGCTTCTTATCTCCTCCTTCTCCTCCTCCTTCTCCTCCTCCTCCTCCTCCTCCTCCTCCTCCGCCCTTACTCTCTCCCCCTGTCCTCCTGCCTGCCTCCACAGGATCCCACCAGGTCGGGAAAACACGAGGCAGGAGAAATACCCGGTCGGTCGGCCTCGTGGCTTTAATGGGGGAAAGGGGAGGGAGGAGGGGAAGGGGGAAAGACGGAAGGGAAGGGGGGGGAGGGAGGGAGGGAGGGAGGGGGAGGGGGAGAGGCTGGGAAGGGGGATAGGAAGGGGGAGGGGGCTAGGGGGAGGGAGGGGCTAGGGGGAGGGAAGCGAGCAAGGAGGCATGGTGTGAACGTTTAATCTTGTTTTTTGCTTCAGCTTGCTTGAAATGTTTGTTGATTATTGTCTTTGTTCTTTGATCTAAGCTGAGTTACTTGTTCTTACCTTCCCCTTCCCCCTCCTCCTCCCCTTCCCCCTTTTTCTCCTTCTCCTTTGTCTCCCTCAAGGTTTCTCCTCCGACTGACAGCTCACGTTTCTCTCCTCCCCTGCTCTGTCAGATGGACGACGTCTGGGCATCTTCCGGCGATGAGTCGGACGGAGCTGCTCCGAGCTCCATCAAGTGAGGACGGATAAAGCAAGTGCCGTGCTGACTGCTGCTGCAGCAAGGTAGATGACGACGTCTGGGAGGAGGAGGAGGACCAGGCAGCCAGCGCCGGCAAGAGAGAGACGCTGTCAGTCAGGGAGGAGGAGAGCGTGAGGAAGAGGTTGTACAAGGTATGACTTCGATCCTCCGTCCGCCGGCTTTCCTGATGGTACGAGCAGGAAGGGTACAAAGAAGCCATCGGAGCGGCCCGAGAGAAATTCCTGCAGGCTGGGTTTGAGGAAGGGTTCAAGGAATCGTTCCTGCAGGGATTGAGGACGGGCAGGGTTGTTGGATTCTGCAGGTTCGGATGCTGTTGCCTTCCTCCTTGTAGTTGACGAGGATGCAGTGTCCTGCAAGGGTCGAGGAAAGACGGGGCTGAGAGGAAGGAGCTTGGGGAGCTGTCAAAACGAGCAAACGAGTACAAGGTGACAACCAGCACCGAAGGCATCGAGGAGATGGAGGAGATGATGAACAAGTGGAGGATAGCGTGAAGTACATTTATAAGCATCACTCGTACTCAGAGGGTGAGATGACATCGTCGATCTTGAGGATCATCTTCACAACCTGCGTCGCAAGCATGAACTGCTGCTTCTTCCCGTGGAGAGTCTCCAGAACTTTCTGGCTCTTCATGTCGTTGGTTCCCACCATCTTGCAGTCAACCCCCAACCAGGGATTCTTCTCTTGCACCTGCCGCTGCTTCAACGCCGCGAGGCTCTCGATCCCGGGGAGGCCGCTATTCTCCGACAAGGCCATGGGAATCGCTTCCAGCGCATCCGAGAAGGCTCGCATGGCGTACTGGTCGACCCCCGTGACCTTGCTGGCTGCGTCGCTCACGGCGAGAGAGCAGGCGATCTCAGAAGATCCGCCGCCGTACACGATCCGGTTGTCCCGAACAAGGTTGCGCACCATGCAAAGAGCATCATGAATTGAGCGCTTGATCTCATCGATGATCATCTTGTTTGCTCCGCGCACGAAGATGGTAACTGCCTTGCTGTTCTCACAATTCTCAATGAACAACATCTTGTCCTTGGTTGTTCCGAACGAGACCTCCCTCACGACCCCGGCCTTGCCCAGCTTCTCAGGAGTCAACTCCGAGAATCTCGGAACGATCCGTGCTCCAGTAGCGATAGCCAGCAGCTCGATCTCCACTCCTCCAACCCAGCGAACAGCGGGCAGCTCATTTTGATACAAGAGATGGTTGGCCTCGTCATCAAATCCCCATTGGCAGATGGCCAGAGTTGCGCCAGAATCCTTGATCTTCTTCACCATGTCAACGAAGTATTCCTGCTCTTGCTTGTAGAGCGTCTGATACTTCTCAACAGTGTCGATCTGAATGTTGTGCTTGGTCTTAGGTTTGGGCGGCTCAAACGGACATGTCAGGATACAGATCTTGGCGTCCTTGATGGTCTTGGCCATTCCAGGATGGCTGATGTCCTTATCCAGCACGATACCGGAAACCAGCATAGAGTCTTCCATCTGCCCTCCTACCTTGCCCTCCATCTTGATCAAGTCCAGGTTGACATCTTTCCTCTCGAAGTCAGCAACAGCCATGATGGCGCTGACAGCAAGGTTCGCCATCTGATCCAAGGCCCTCGTCACACTGCACAGGGGATCAGCGTTACAACTTTGAGCATGCGCGGGCAAGAGCGTCTCACATCTTGGAGGACAAGGTGGTCTTCGCTACAGTAAGGAGCTCGGAGGTCTCGTGGGGGGTGAAGTGGATCTTGTCGCAGATCTTGTCCAGGTGGTCGCATGCTACCTTGCATGCTACTTCGAACCCCTCGGATATTCTGCGAGGGTGTAGGCCCCTGTCTAACAAAAGCTCTGCCTGCTCCAGCAGCGCTCCGGCTAGGACCACCACTCCTGTGGTCCCATCCCCGATCTCCTGATCCTGAGACTTGGACAGCTCCACCATGAGCTTTGCGATTTGATTCTCAACCTCCATCCTCTCAAGTATCGTGGCTCCGTCATTGGAAACACAGACGTCGCCATCGCCACTCACAAGAATTTTGTCCATCCCTGCATTTCATTAGTTACACACGGTGATTGCAGCTCGTGCTTTTACCCTTCGGTCCCAGGGAGGATCTCAGCGTGCTAGCTACTGATCGAGCAGCAATGATGTTGGACTGCAAGAAAGTAAACCAGTCACAACCGCTTTCTGCTTTCTTCAATCCAATGTTTGGGCAACAGGAGAAATGCAGCGACAAACAACAGCATGATTGAGAAGAATGATGTAAAATTTTCCTGAAGCGGGTCCATTCATCAAAGTATATAGGCAAACAAACCATGACACCGTTGAAACGAATGATCAACATTCAATTGTAGTCATGCCATGAATCATACACCATCTAATTTCTTGTTTCTTGTCAACAAACAGCCCTCACAAACCAGCAATGGTCGTGTTGCGAGGTGAGTGTGACAAGTTTCAAACAATGCGGAGGAAATATAGATGACAGAGAGGCGCAGGTGGAGACGCTGGTGAAAGGATGTGCAGAATATGCAAACAGCACGACGGGTTCCAATGGAGGGAGCGCAAGGGGCAGAGAGCAGGAGAGAGACAGGAGGCATGCAAGGAGGAGGGAGGGAGGGAGGGAGGAGAGACTACCTTGAGAGCAGCAAGTCCCTTAAGTCTGGTCTTGGAAGATTGCTCCTTGATGATGATGAAGGGCCTGCCATACTCGTCGAACACAAGGCTCATGACTGCCTCCCGCGCGCTCTACCACCCCCTACCCCTGATGATACTGATGGACCTCTGCACCGGTACTTTGAATACCCCACCCACCATAATTTCACTTTGGCTCATTGCCAAGTGCATCAAATAGACTTTAGTGTTTTTCCTTAAGTTGTTTATTAAATATAATTCAAGCTCTGCTACTTAAGGAATATAATGAAGTACCCCTACCCTGTGTATATCAACCCCCACCAGGTGAACTCGGGCTCAGGGACAACCCAAACTTGTGCATTATCGCACCGGTCCCTCAGCAGCAGCATCCACCCCTAGACCCCTAATTTTGTCCTCAAATATACCCGTGTCTCTCAATACTACCCTCCGTTTGGAAAGGTATCCCCTCCATGAATTCAAAGACTCCCTTCGAATTTTCGAAATTTTTCTTCAAATATTTGTCTTACATTTGAAATATCAAAGTATGTTGGTCACTGCCCTGCCAAACAATGAAAGTTTTCCCGCCAAAAGGTGGATGGGCTACTACCCCCCCATTTTCCTCACTAAGGACCCTGCAGATCCATTCATCGGCCCGCCTCAGATAAATCGAACCTGGGGGGGATGCGGGCCACGACATCATTCAACGACAACCGGGCTGCAATGGGGCGGGAGGAGGTAGAAGCGCTCGGGGAGGCACTAGTGCGAGAGTACCTGAACAGCAAGGGGCTCAAGGGAGCACTGGAGGCCCTGAACAAGGAGGCGCCGCCCAAGGAAGGGAGGACTACCAAGAGATCGGAGCTTTCGAGGTCTCTGGGGATCGAGAAGATGGTGAAGAGGAACAAGGAGAGAGGGGAGGAGGCTCTTGCGTCGTGTTTGGAGGTTCTGGTGGAGTACTTGCACAACAAGGCCGTCACTCTCAAAGAAAAGAAGTCAGATGAGGTTGAGAAGTCTGAGAAACCAGGAAAAGTCTTGGACAAGGAAGACAAAGACAAGGTGGATGGGCACCACAAGCCGAAACCAGTCGACAAGCACGCTGACAGTGAAAGGATAGAGAAATTCCACGTGGATCATCGTCATCACGACGATAATGTTGCTAGCATTTCTGTAGGGAACGATTATTCTGCGGCAAACGTGTTCAGAAGGAGGGGGCATGGAGTGAGCAAGAGTCAGATGGACCACAACGAGTGTGTTGTGGAGGATCTTGACGACGTTGGAGACGATCTTGCTTCGATGAGCCTGCGAAATCAATCGTCCGATCTGACCAAAGAGAAGAAGAGCTTCAAGTTCAACAGGATCTCCATTAAGGAAGCGTTTGAACTGAGGTCGATAGTGTTTGGGAATGCAAAGATTTCGTTCCCTGGTTCATGGAAGCAAGGTTTTTTCTTCAATGCGGCAGCGCACCTAAAGTACGGGCTTGTTCAGAAGGAGGGAGGGCCGTGCGGTATTCTGGCATGTGTGCAAGCTTGCCTGATCAAGAACATGCTGTTGAAGAAGAGGAGGTTTGATCCTGAAATGGTTCGAGAGAGTGAGGCCCGAGAAGCTCTGATGGATGCCGTATGCGATATCCTTTGGCAAGCTGGTGGAAGCAAGGCTACTCTGGCGATACCTGGAAGCCGGCGATCCTCTCATGGCGATGACGAAGAGAAGATGCGTTTGAACTACAAGGACGATGGATTGACAGAGTGCCTGATGGTCTGCGAAGTCAGTTCCAGGGCTGATATGAGGAGATTGATACAGGATCACCAGGTACTGTCGATCTCTGCTAATGTGTTGCAAGAAAGCCACTGAATATCTTTGCAGGCTTCTTTGCTCGGGGACGACACTCAAGGCCTTGCATGCTTCCTCTACTCGGCCATCCTCTCTCGAGGACCCAGCAACGTTCACAAGGACATGGAGTCATTCGACGCGAACGTGAAGCTTATGGGGCAACACAACTATTGCAGGTTTGAGCAACATGGCCACAGAAATCACAGAATGACAACTTTTGTTTAGCCAAGAGATGGTTAACCTCCTTCTGGTGGGCAAGGCTGTTCCCCACGTGTTCGATGGTACCAAGGAGCTTGATGGCTTGACGCTGAACGGAATATCCTGCTCGACTGAGGTGAGACCAAGAAGTAAAGGCTTTGTTCAAGCCAGATGTTTCTCATGTCTGTTTTCAGATTGGCTTTTTCTCCCTTTTTGAGCATTACAGAAGCATTGAAGTTGGATCCCTCTTGAAAAATCCGAAGTACCCAGTATGGGTAGTTTGCTCTGAGTCTCATTTTTCTGTTTTCTTCTCCGCCAATCTAGATGCTCTCGAGGTGATTGTGTATGATACAATCACGGCATCTTTACTGTCGATTTGGCAGAATTCCGAAGGATCCAAGGAGATTGATTTATACTACTACGATGAGCTAGCCAAGCAAGACGAGACTATTCGACTCTCTGTTTCCTGGAAGAATTCAAACTCTCACTGCGGCAAGGGGCCGATGGATCCCAGCATTGACCTCACTCCTCCCCTTGAACACTGCATAAGGACCAAGTGGCCTCAAGCTGTTGTCGACTGGAACGGATCTGATCCTGTGAGAGGTCATCTTGATCTAAGAAAGATGCTGATATTCATTTCAGATTCTTTGATTTCAAAAGCTTCAGCGCACGTGATCAGGCACAGAACGTTGTTGGGGTCGTGACATTTGTCAACGATGTTCAACTTCATACTTGCTGAATGAAGAAATGTTGTCGAATGTATGCTTCATCACAAATGGTGATCAATTATCAAAGTGATCTTGCGCATATTCGTATGAAGCTTTAATGAAACACATGAAGAAAAGATAAAGCTCTTGCAAGATCATGGCGAACGCTGTGGATGGTAGTAAATGAATAAATTTATTGTTACATTCCTAAACAGCTTATAATCCGTGTTCTCATCATACGTGTTAACATGCGTTTATTGGCCGTCACTGCTTTGCAAAGTGTCCCACAGCTCTGTTGTACTCTGCTCGCGTGCGATCTGGTCGACTGAACGTCGCAAACTCAAACTCTCCGCCGGCAATCGTTGATTGAAGCTTGGTCACAGACATGGGAGCACTGAGAGTCTTGAAGAGGGGGAAGTCGTCGACCTCGAGCAACTCGTAGCCGCGGCTTTGAGGAGCACTGGCGGTCTTGCGGAAGTCGTCTTGCTCGACAGGCTCGGGAAAGGACTCCTTCGCCTGGGAGAGAACTTCTTCCTCTTCGACCTCGTCGTCACTTGAATGCACCTCAGTCAGAGCATCTTCCATCTGATGCATCCATTCAAGGAGATCGAATCCCTCGGCGCTAAAGGGGCATTGCTTCTTGACCGTGGATTCTTGAATCACCTCCTTGAAGGAAGCCTTGCTCATGTTCTCGGAAGGGAGAGCAGAGCAGACTCCGTCCTTGACCATGCTGGTCGAGTCAGTCCCGAGGGACTGGAGAGGGAGGGCAACACAGGAGGATGCAGGAGGGGTCCTGGAAGGAAGTTCGAATGCTCTGCACATGCTCCTTGCGTTCTGCCGCGCTCTCGCCTTCTTCCTCTTTTGTAGCCTCCTTTACTGTTTCCCCCACACCACCCCCTCCCCCCCTTCCTCCAGACCTCCCACCCCTTGAACTATGAGCTTCTCACCCCTATACCCCTCATAGGATTACGATGACCTTCGAGACCACCCACCCTCCTCGGAGATCCCTGAACCCACACCGGTGCTTGTCCCCATCTCTGGCTCAAAAGGGCCTTAGGACTCTTCGATGCGTCCATCCGAATACTCACACCCACCACCCCTACCCCCTCCCGTGATCGGACCCACCCTCAGGAGAAAAAACTCCGTACGTACTACCCACTCGAGCCTCTTCCCAACCGCCTGCCAGGTTCTCACGAAGCAGCCATGTAGGGGGTCCAACACATATGGGGTATGTGGTGGTTTTTCTCGATTGGAGCTCTAAGTTAAATGGACAAGGTCACAAGGAAGAGAACCCAGGCAGCTGCCAGCCATGTACCGTAACAGGACATTGAGGTTCAGGTCAGCTGCGACACCTTGAGACACATGTTGACGTGAAATCCTAGTTTTTCACCCACTGTGTTAAACCGGATGGAAGCGAAATCAAGTCTTTTCGTGTAACCTTTTCGCACAACGTACCAGTTACATGACCCCAATCATCTCACTTCGCATCAACCCACCCGTGTAAAACAGGGCCCGGACTCACCCCTACTCTTGGTATGTGCCCGTCAACCGGAGAATCTGCTGAGGAGGAGGGGGTCTGAGCCGCCGCGGCCCCCTGCGGCTCACCGACCACGTAAAGATAAGCCTGACACCAAGATCCGTCTCTTCGCGCATGATCTGCCTAAATTCAACCTCTCAACCCCTATCGTTTCACGCTGTGAACCGTTGAAGCCGCGGCGTCTCAGTGATCCGAGTTCAGTCATGTCGAGTTTACTATCGGAGTTGTCCGACAGGGATCCGCCGTTTACGGTTCGGAAAACGGAACTCTCCGGCGGTCACGGTCACCGGGTGCCGCACAGTGACCGACTTAACTTTGAGTAAAGGACCGACCGTCGGACGGTCCGACTGACGCGCGTTCGGACCGCCGTTCAACTGGGACGGCCCTTGGCCGAGTCACTGCGGGGGGCGCCGGCTCGGGGGCGCGGCACTGAGGCCAGAGTTCAACCCCGCCGTTAGTGGCGGCCGATCGGACTGATCGGCGGCGGGGCGCGGCGGGGCGGCGGGCCGGTGGGGCCGGGCCATGATGCGCGCGGCCGCGCCGCGGAACCGGCCGCCGGCGTTCCCACTCAGGAGTCCCGCCGCTAAGTTGTGCCAGCGAACTTCGGCCGGGTGATCAAACAGTCCGACGTACGGTCACCGAGCCTCCGAGTCACAGGCCGGGCGTCTTAGTGACTCAACTGTCATGGTGCGCCGCGCGCGGCCGGGCGCCCGCGACGGTTCCGAGTTCCGAAAACCGTACTGTACCAAACCGTCTGTGACCGTACGTCTGTAGGCAACTTGGCCGCGAATGATGCGCTCCGAGGCTCGCGGGGCATGCCGCAGTGCCCGGCCCCCCGCCGCGCGCCGAGCCGCCGGCCGCCGGGGCTCGGAGGGTTCCAAGCCTGCTCCGATGGTTCCGCCGGCGTGACGGCGGCGGCGGGCTCGAATCATTGCCAGTGACCCCGCCAGTGAAAGGCTTGCCTCGGAGTACTCCGTAGTAGGCCTGAGGCTTCCCCACGCAAATCAAGAAGTTGGCCGCCCGGAGGGTCAGTACGGCGGGCCGCGGGCGGTCCCCGCCGGGGCGAGTCTCAGTCACTCGGAACCGTACGGTCGGCCCCTTGCCAAGTTGACGAGTTGCAAGTTGCACCCCGGGCGGCCTCAGCCGCTTCCGCACCGTCTGCGGCATGATCGGATTGAACCCTTCTACCCCTGAGTTTCGGCTACCCACCCGTACATTACCCCAGGAATTATTCAGCTGCGGTTGGTGGGGTCCACTACCCTACTACCCCTGTGGTACCCTTGCGATTTGGAGCCGGATAGAGTTGTTGCGGGCTGCAGTTTGTGGGAAAGCAGGAAGGGAAACAAGGAATGGGGACCAAGGAGGGAAGGAGAGCAGAGAAGGGTGGCGGGGAGGAGGGAGGAAGATGCATACGTGAAAGGTGAAGGATACTTGCTGAAGGATGGATACATTCCTGGTCGAATCTCTTGGTATGACCAATCGTCTCTAGACGTGAAGGCATGTAGGAGTAGGTTGATGAGGCCACCATGTCACAACCATTGTGGCCCAGATGGTTTGGATAACCATTCATTGAACAACACGGTGCACTGCTTCATGTTGATGAGAACCTGTGCTCCTGCAGGTGATATCCATCAGCATGAGCGACAACAAGCACAACAGAACCTACCTGCGGGGCTTCGGCAACGAGTTCGAGGTAAAAGGCACTCGTGCCGACTTGTGACGACGAACTGACACGAAAATGAAGTCAGAGGCCTTGCCAGGTTCCCTTCCAAGAGGTCAGAACAATCCTCAGCGATGCCCCAGGGGGCTGTATGCAGAACAGCTTTCCGGCTCATCCTTCACGATGACAAGATCCAAGAACCTGAGGTCATGGCTGTACAGAACCATGCCCACTGTGGATGAGGAAGAGTTTGTGCAAGACGACGAGGACGTGTTCAAGCACGTGGCGACCAAGTACGACCACCTTGATGGAAATCCAAACCAGGTATGCTGTGTTGCACCCTTGTTCCTTGTTCCTTGCTTGACTGATATTTTACAGCTCCGATGGAAACCTGCTCCTCTTGCACCCGACGGCACTCCCGTGACTTTTCTGCAAGGGCTGTGGAGCATTGCTGGGGCAGGGGATCCATCAGCAAAGAAGTAAGAGGAGGTCACTGCTGGTTGTTGATGTGAAGATGTTTGTGCAGAGGCGTGGCGATCTACATGTACGCTTGCAACACGTCGATGAAAGATGCTTTCTATAACTCTGATGGTGAAGTCTCTTGAAAGAAGGGGTTGTTTGCTGATATTCCTGATTGACATCTTTCGTGTGTTGTCGTTGAAACAGGAGATTTGCTGATCGTGCCACAAACTGGATCCTTGAGCATCCGAACTGAGTTTGGACAGCTTGATGTCGAGCAAAGCAAGTTCCTTCTTTTTCGTGTCTTCTGCTCTTGTGACTTGCTGCTTTCCTCCCTGCCTCCTTGCCTCCCTGCCTCCCTGCCTCCCTGCCTCCCTGCCTCCCTGCCTCCCTGCCTCCCTGCCTCCCTGCCTCCCTGCCTCCCTCGTTTCTCTCTCCCTCCCTCCCTGCCCTGTCCCTTCCTCCTTTTCAGATGAGATCTGCGTCATCCCTCGGGGGATCGTCTTCCGAGTGGAGCAGCAGGACAGTGCCAGGGGATACATGCTGGAGAGTTTTCAAGGTCACTTCTGCCTTCCTGACCTTGGACCCATCGGATCCAACGGGCTGGCAAACGCCAGAGACTTCGAGGCAAGTCAGAATTGACTGTTGCTATCCCCAAGTGATTTGCTTCCTGCAGTACCCAACGGCCAGCTTCGAGGAAGTGCAAGGAGACGTGAAGATATACAACAAGTTCTGCGGGAAGCTCTGTAAGATCTGTCGAATGCGCATCATTGAAATGATGACACGAGCGTCTGCTTGAAGTTAAGAAGATCAGTCACCACAGCCCATTCAACGTCGTTGCATGGCACGGCAACTACCTCCCGTTCAAGTGAGATCTTGTCTAGAGAAGCCTGAACGCTGCGTCCCCTTCGTCTCACCAGATCTCTTGCAGGTACAACCTCACAACCTTCTGCACGATGAACACTGTCTCCTACGATCATCCAGGCAACGGAACCGGAGTGCAGAGACATCGGCATCAACTGACAAGTCCGCAGACCCTTCCATCTTCACGGTCTTGTCTTGCCCATCGGAGACAGCGGGAGAGTCTGCTGTGGACTTTGTGATTTTCCCCCCAAGGTGGATGGTGGCAGAGGATACGTTCCGACCTCCGTACTTCCACAGGAACTACATGTCAGAGTTCATGGGCATGGTGACTCGAATGTTGTGGTTCAGTTCCCGTCCTTTGATTGCCCTGATTGCATCAGATTTCGGGCAAGTATGACGCGAAGGTTGGCTTCAGCGCGGGAGGAGCCTCCCTGCACTGCTGCATGTCAGCCCATGGACCGGACAGAGAGACGACGGAGAGGGCGGAAGGTCGCGCTTGCAGGCGTGTCAGCGAGCTCTGAACCCCCGCATGACGCAGAGGCCGAGATGTCGCCGGTCAAGTTCGAGGATGGCCTTGCGTTCATGTTCGAGACGTCTGCGGTGAGTTTGAGGAGACGCGCAACGATGAGACGATGACTTGATGTCGCAGATCCTCAAGCCAACCCCTCAAGCCATGTCCTGCCCCTTCCGCGACACCCAGTACAAGGTGAGAGATGTTGCCTCTGTGAAGGAAGGCCGTGGACGATGATGAGAAGGAATGCTGGAAGGGGTTCGAGAGGAGAAGTCTGAACCTTTAAGAGGCAATGTACAACACTCATGACGACACGTCGAACTTGAAGACAAGCTCCCCGCAGAAACATACGACTTTCTCTCTCATACCCAGCTGCAGGAGAAGAAAGAAAGGCACAATGCAAGCGCACGTGAGCGAATATGATGTCAAGTAACTCGGTATACCTTGATCGCCTTCGATTCATCGACATCTATTGCCTTGCCCGGGAGAATGTCGACAAATCCCTTCGCGTCTCTGTCCACCACCTCCCATGGTTTCTTGTTCCCACGAACAGCAAAACAACCGGAGCTCGATCCAACGAATATCGTCCTACACCACCATTCACCACCAGAAAAATGTTGACTTCTTGGCAACATCAGCCTCACAATTGACAACATACATACATACATACAGTCAGTCAGACAGACAGACAGACAGACAGACAAATCTCGTCCTCTACTACCTCTGCGAGCGAGCAGGGATCTTGACGCCTTGTCTGATAAGGATGGAGCCGTAACTGGGCTCGTCGTCAAGGAGGTTGAACGCTGGCAGGCAGCTGCTAGCGTCTATGCTGCTGCACTCGTCAGCGTCTCGTCGGCAACTCCATCCACGAAAGGCCCACCTCAAGGGAGAGAAAGATGACAGGGAGGAAGGGGTTGAATTGTCCGCCGGAGAAACCTGCTCAGTATCCCATTGAGGTTCTCAAGACAATGGGGGTGAGTGTAGACCTTGGACGCCTTGATCATAATCTTGGAACGCTGGGATGCAGAGAAGGAGAAGGAGGAGGAGGAGGAGGAGGCCAACTTGAGCTCTATGACTGAGCCTTCAGTGTACAGCGAGATCCAGTCAACGAACCTGTAAGAATGACGGAGTGACTGTCTGCCCGAACCACAAACGTGAACCCCTGAGGCAACAAGGAAGGAGCAGTCAGCAGGGCACCTTTCACGACCTCCGATTGCAGATAGATCAGCATCGTCCTTACCCGGCAGAATTCGTGAGTTGGGTTCGCAGTCCTTACAACGATGCTGTCCGGAAGCTTGATAGGCAGCGAGAGGACAGGAGCTTCTTTCAGCCACGACCACATGTACTGCTCTCGTCCTCTCGTCCTCTCCCCCCCCTCGTCGAACATCATCAGCTCCTGCTCCTGCCGCGCAGCTCCATGACTCTTCGCCGTCTCTTCACCCCCTGCAGTCCTCACGCCTCCTCGCTGTGTCCTCAGGATCGAGTCAATCTTGTTGGCCCACTTGTCGGTGAAGTCAAACCTGAAACGGCAAGTCAGCCACAGCTAGCTCAGCTCCTCCTCTTTTCCTCCCTCTCTCCCTCCCTCTTTTCCTTCTCCTCTCTCTCTCTCTCCTTCTTCTCCTCCCTCTCTCTCTCCCTCATGCTTCCAATTTCACTGCACTGACTACTTCCCTTCCTCTTTCTCACTCCCTCATCCACACAACCCGCGAGCACAATTAGCCTTGCTCTTCCTTACCAGTAACAATCTTCTTCGAACTTCTTTGCCCGCCTTGTGCACGTCAGAAGCAAGACAGAAGAGTACTATCAACTACCTTGACGCCTCCCCGATCTGATCCTCCTTGCTCTTCAGTTTACTCTGCAGGCAGACGGTCTTCCAAGCTTGAAAGAAGGCTTGTGACGTGTTGAAGGCATTCCTCCTATCGCTTGCATAGCTCGCAACGGATTGCTTCTTCGGCTTGAAAGAGTGCTCTTTTGGGTCGCCCACCATGGTTTGTAAATTCATCAGCCGCTCTGATTTCCTCTGCTCGTTCTCCAAACGTGTCTGCAGCGAGAAGATCCGCGCTGCCATGGACTCGATCACAACGCTCTCCTTGATCCATCCTGGCGCCATGAACACCGGGTCGCTAGTCTTCTTCATGACATTACCCCATGATGGCCTCGACTTGAGCTTCGGCTCCTTCTCCGCAGTCTTAAGGAAATGTCGTGTCATAGATTTCACCTTCTGTTCCAGAGCTTCACTCTCCCCGAATCGGTTCTGTTCGATCCTCGCCCGCGCTTCTCGGACGGCACGTTGCATCACCATCCTGCTGAAAGATAAGAATAGAACAGTTACGGAGCATGAGAACAACTCCCGTCCTCAACTCAACGACAACAACATCATCCTTGCATGCTCTCATTCTCTTCCTGAACCCTGAAGTCTCATTCCTCTACTGCATCTTACTTTCGATCTTCAGCTCTCGATCTTCCCCTCCTCCAACTCACCCTCCTCCCTCCTCCCTCCTCCCTCCCTTCCTCTCGTCATGATTCCTGCGGTGCAATGGTGCACGGCCGTTGATGGTTCCGAATGAAACTGTCGCAACAGACCGTTACAAGGACCAAGGCAGTTTTTGGACGGTTTTTTTCCTAGTAGGGTGGTGGTGGTTGATATCTCAATTCTATCAGGGGAGGGGTACTATGATATGAAGAAATGAGGAATCGGAAGGTGTGGGGTGATTAAATGGAGGGGTGGGGTGATAAAATGGTGGGGTGGGGTCCTCGATTCACCGAATTAGGTAGAATAACCTTGGGGTAGTGATCGGAAGATAGGCGACCATAGGGGTCATGATACAAATGATGGGGTAGGGGTATCTCATAGGTAACTTATGGCTCCAAGAGCAAATTACTCATATGTCAAATGAGGGTAAATATCAGGGAGTAGAGTACTTGTACCCTTCTATTGCTAATACATGGAAATATGACGGGTGCGTGTGAAATGTTAGGGGTGTTGAGAAGGATTCATTTTAGGGTAGGTGGGGTGAAAGTTAGTGGGATATGATGATGAAAGCATGCAGCGAAAAGTTCCATGGCGAGGAGGAGAGGAGAGGAGAGGAGGAGGAGGAGGTCATGGAAGATACCAGGGTAGAGAGAGCAGAGCAGAGCAGAGCAGAGCAGAGCAGAGCAGAGCAGAGCACAGGAGAGCAGAGCAGAGCACAGGAGAGCAGAGCAGAGCAGAGCAGAGCAGAGGAGGGAGAATTTAAGGTGGTACTTGACCGATCGTCATCTTTGAAGTTGGGAACAGATATTTTATGTTGTCGTTTCAAACAGAGGTATCGGAGATACAACATGGAATGATCACAACTGAGAGCTCTGATTGGGTAGTGAGTGACATGTACGAAGTGGGCTGAATTTGGCTATGCCAAGCAGGTTGGAGGTAGATAGTGGAACTTTATATTCGAATACGAATGAGCATTTGAATGAGGCGATGATATCGAGTGAAGGGAGTTGCACAAGCTTGAGATACAAGAAAAGATTAGCAATCACCATCAGATAGCATGTTTTGGGAAGGACCGATGGATGTGTCAGGAAAGATGTCAGGATGACGATGCGTGGCGAGTGGAAAATACATCATCTTCCAAGCTGAAAACGTGCTGCGAAGGATGATATGATCAACGTGGAAGGGTAGAGGAGGAATTATTGTAGCCGGTTGAGATGAGATAAGTGAGATGATGTAGATGTTGGCTGGGTGAAGGGTCCAACAGTTTGTATCCGTCACTGAAACCTCTTTGAAGTCCACCATGCCCTTGCGATGACGCGGTGATGGACGTGTGGAGTGAATGGAGAAGCTGTCCTGGTGAGAGAACAAAGTGTTGGTAACGTTTCTGATAGTCTTGATGCATTTTCCCGTTGTACCAGGCCAGGCATGATGACATTTAGTTCGCAGTGAAGCAGCGATGTTGTAGCGCACGGAACTGGAGGACGAGGGTCACGTCTTAGTTGTTCCTGTCCCAACGTCCTCGCCATGAGCTCAGCAAAGCACACGGTTGTGATCCACACAGAACCAGAGAACTATCAGACCTTCGGCGCCTTCCAGGCTGACGCCCACCAGCCGCTCTCACCTCAAGTCTCAGGTCGTTGCAGATTAGAACTCCTTCTCCCGTCCGCTTGTCTCCCTTCCCCTCTCCCCTTCCTCTCCCTCTCCCCTCCCCTTCCTCTCCCTCTCTGTCCCTCTTCCTCCCTCTCCCTCCCTCTTGGTGCTTCTCCTTTCGTGATTTGGTGCTCTGGTTGTTTTGAGTTGTGGGAGATGAACGTGAAGAGCGAACATCCATATGACGTTTATGACGGTTTTGTCTGCAGAGTATGATTCCAGTCATCACGTTCGCTCCTATCAGGTGAGTTCTGCGGATAGCATCTGACGATGGTGACCCGCTGAGCAGATGGCGGGAAATGCAGAGCAGCACCATCAGGTCATCCGGAGCAAGAAGGAGAGTATGAAAGACAGCATGAAGGTGACGGAAGGAGAAGAGAACTCTGACGGCATCGCTTTCAACATTCTCAACTCACAACTGTCAAAGTTCAACTTTCACCCCTCATTCCTGATCTCTCTTCTCCTCTCATTCTGCTTGTTAGGCCTGGTACTGCTGCGTCGAACCACAGTACATCGCCGTCATCTCTTCTCTCGTTGCGAGCAGCGCGGCAGCGTTTGGGATTCCGAAGGTGAGGAGGGAGGAGGCGCAGTCGAAAGGAGAAGGAGGTAGGAATCGACAGGGAGCAAACTAGAAGGGAGGAGGAGGAGGAGGATGGAGATGGGAAGGAGAAGTAATAAGGAGTTGGACGACGGTGTGTGGGTGGCGAGAGGCAAGGAGGCTGGAGAGAAAAGCTGCTTGACGGAGGGGATCAGGTCTTGGCCTTCTCCTTCCCCGGCTGGCGGATCTCGCTCAATCTCACCCGCACCACTCTGTCTGCTCTCTTCTCGGTTGGGAACTTGTGCGGAGCTTTCTTTCAGCCCTACATAGGCAAGAACGTGGACAAGTGGGGGCCCAAGTAAGACCGGGCGGGAGGCGGGAGGGTGGAGGAAGTTCTCATGAGTTTGGCAGACATTCGCTCGTCGTCATGCTGCTCTTCATCTGCGGTCCTTTCTATGCTCCCATCATTGCGCAGGAGGTGTCGACCTCCTCCTCCTCCTTCACTACCACCACTATCACCACTACTGCCTACTCCTCCTCCTCCCCCTTCTATTCCCCCTATCCTTCCTCCTCCGACCCCCCTCTACCTCACTTGACATCTCTTCCGGAATCTTCTTCTGCTCATCCCCCGCCTCCTCTTGCTGCTCCATCCTTCTCTCCTGACATGCTTTCCTGCAAGATTTTCTTTCCTCCCCTGCGGATGGCCATCATGGTTTTGGCAATCTTCGGTATCAGGGTGCTGCAGGCAGGGATAGATACAGCTGGGAATGTGCTCATCAACCATTGGTTCCTCAAGCAGCGAGGCAGAGTTTCCTCCATCCGTCAGGTTTGTCATCATCATCCTCCTCCTCCTCCTCCTCCTCCTCGCTCCTTGTCCACGTCCTTGTCCTCGTGCTCGTCGTGCTCCTTGATCCCTCTCTGCCTCCCTGCCTGCCTTCTCCTCCTCCTCTTCCTCCTCCTTCTCATTCATCTATCTCCTCCTCCTTTCATATCCCTTCGCTCCACCTCCGTCAACCTTCTTCTCTCCTCCTACCTCTTTCTCGCCTCCTCCCTCTCCTTATGGCTCCGCAGATTTTCTACGTCTGCCTCCAGGATCTCGTGCTCGTTCAGATCGTGCAGAACCTGGACGACTGGCGGGCCACCTCCCATCTCTCCGTCGCCGTCTGCTTCGTCGCCATGTCCTGGATCTTCATCTTCGCCATCAACACGCCGGAAGAGATCGGGATGAAGCCTGACGGCAAGTGGGTGGAGAGTACAGGCATCGAGTACGAGAGCCTTTTGGACGGCAAGCAGGTCAGCCCAGCTGCTCACCGCCTCCTCCTCCTTGTCTTCCTCTTCTCCGTCTGTTTCTACTCCAATCCTCCCTTGAATTCTCCTCGTGTTCTTGTATACTTGTCACTCGTTTCTATTTGTTTAATTCTCCACTTCCTCCCCATCCTCCTCCTCTTCTCCAAGTTCTCGCTATACTCGTTTCTTCCCTCTTCGCTTCCCCTCCTATCCAGCTGCTGTTCCTCCTCGCGGGTCCCTCACATGACAACTTTCTTCCTCCTCGCAGGTCGAAGCATCAAGTGACCGCAGCAAGGAGCCTAAACCGGAGAAGCAGGAAGCATCGTCATCCCCTTCTTTCTCTTGCTCTGAGGTTCTTCCATGTACCCTCCGTCACCAGCATGCTGCTTCTTCTGCCTCCTCCTCTTCCCCTCCTCTTCCCTCTCTCCTCTCCACTGGTCTGCCCTCCCTCATTCTGTGATGCAGGCGATGCAAACTTCTTCGTTCTGGCTTTTACTTACCAACAATGTATTCTATTGCATTGTTGGCCCAACAACTACTCTTTTCCTCCTTGACATCGTCATGGATACAGGTCCAACCCTTTTCTCCACTTTCACGTCCTCCTCTCCCACATCTCCTTCCTCCACAATGTCCCCCACTGCTTCTTACGATGAACTCCTTGTTCCTCTCCAAACTCTCCATCCTCCCGCCCCTCTTCTTTTCCCTTCCTCTCCTCTCCATTTGACGCTGCTGTCGGCAGTCGGGGACGCGAAGCTGAAGCAGATCAATCTGGCTCAGTGCGTGTACATCCCTCACTTCATCCTCGCGGTGCTCGTTGGAACAGCCTCGGGGTGGATGATCGACTATGGCGTTGAGATCAGGTGCCCTGCCCTACTCAGCACAGACAAGGAGGAAAGGGGATGATTCGAACAGTCGTTGAATCCTCCTCTTTCTTCCTCTTGTATCCTCCCTGTTGATGAATTTGCCTGCTTTCTTCTCACCTGCTCACCTGCTTCCTTTCCTCGCTTGCCACGTGCTCCCCCAGCATCACATCGCCTCATTTTCTGCCTGCAGGTACATCCTCGCCTTCTCCTCCTTCTGCCTTGCCCTCTCCACCTACATCTCGACCGAGATCAGCAGCCCCTCCACCGCTATCCTCTTCGGCATCATCCGAGGATGCGTCGGCGGTACCCGACAGAGTGTGAAACAGACGGTATGGGCAAACTACTATGGCAGGTACATGTCAGCATTGCTCTCTCTGCTCTCTCCTTTCCCATGTCCCTTTCCTGTCCTCCTCTTCTAGCTCCCCCTCCTTTCCCTCCTCCCCCTCCGCTGCCTCCTTCCTCCCGTTTGTTCTCATCCTCATTCTCTGCTCAGAGAGCATCTCGGTGAGATCACTGGGATCTCGCGCACGTGCGAGATGCTGGGCATGTCGCTCGGCCCTCTCTTCCTCGGGGTCTCCCGCGAACATTTCGGGGAGTATCGTACGGGCTGCTACGCCATGTCAGCGCTCTGCTGGTATCTCCTCGTCCTCCCAGTCCTCCCCGAGCAGTAGCAGCTAACGTTACAACAGGTTCCAAGGTTGGGCGATGCTCTTCCTGAAGAAACCCGTTCATCCTTCGTCGTTGGCAGAGCCCGCTGCCTAGTCTTCGTCTCTTTATGTTTATTCTTTCTCCAAGTTTGTTGTTGTTATGTTGCAAACGCTCTCTTACAAGCGCCCCGCGTGCTTCTTCAGCCAGGGATGTTCCAGCATCTCTGCTGCTGTGCTCCTCTCCTTAGGGTCGAATCGGAGCATCGGAAGGAAGAAGGAAGAGACTTCGTTAGCTTCCTCTCTGTCCATCCCGTACTAGCAAGACATCAGATCCTCCCTTCCAACCTTCTCTCTCCCTCACCTTCTCGACCAACACGTCCTCCAGCGCCCAAAATTTCAAGCTCTTGATTCGCTTCAACTTCCCTTCCTCATCCATGAATTGAGGTGATCTCGTGCCTCGGAGAGCAAGGTGAGGCGGCATCGTCCCCAGAAGCTCCTGGAATACTCGTCAGACAAGACAAACAAGGCAGTGATGGTGATGCTGATGACGATGACGATGATTATAGTGATAATGATGACGAAGATAATCATGTTGATGATGGTATTGTGTGACTCCGAACCTGATGTAGTGCTAGGAGGTCATCCTCCTTCTCATACAAGATCTCCCCTGAGTTATCTCTCCCAACCTATCATGATCCGTCACAGGAGCAACACCAAAAGCGGCAGTTTTCTCACCTGAGGGTCGAAGAGATATTCTCCCGTCAGCAGCTCGAAGCCAATGCACGCGGCCGACCAGATGTCAGCTGACGTCGAGAACCCAGCTCCGAGGATGACCTGAACGGCAACATATCAGCCTCATAGTCTCATCTGCAGCAACATTCACCTCCGGGCAGCGATACTCGATCGTCTGGATGTCCTGTGTAAATGGCCGGTTGGCGAAGCAAGAGTTGCCAAGATCTACAAGCTTTGCGCGCACTGGACCCTTCATCTGCTCTGCCCATCCCTTCCTGAGCTTCGAGGCTGATCCATCAGGGGCTTCATCCTCACGGTTCTCAGTCCACCAATCAGCAGGAGAGCTCGGGAGGCGCAGGAGCACGTTCTCAGGCTTCACGTCTGTGTGGACGATGTTGCAACCTGAGTGCAAGTAGTCCAGCCCCGCAAGCACATCCCGCATGACCGAAGCTACCATGGGGATGGGACATCCAGCATACGAGTGGTCGATAATCAGATCCAGCAGGGAGGGCCCTAGGAGCTCAAGAGCAAGGCAGATCTGCCTTCCGTGTGGGCTGGGGATTCCAAACGCTCCAACAATCTGCACTACACAATCGCTTCCCTTGCTCAGAGTCTCGGATCCTCGCTTGACAGCAGAGAGAAGTAGAATTTCATCCTGCGCCACTTGTACATGTTTCTTCCCCGCCCTCTGCACTTTAACAGCAAGATGAGCATCGGTCTGCTTGTCCCAGGCGATGTAGACCGTACCAAAAGCCCCTGATCCCAGCACACCGAGGATTGAGATTCTCTTGTTCAGCACGTCTCCGACTTTGAATGGAGCCTCCTGGTGCTCCTCTCCCTCGCTCAATTCCTCAGCCCCCTCACTCTTAGTGCGTTCAAGGAGCGGAGAGAGGCGAGAGCACGGCGAAACGTGAGACATCCTTCCGTCGTCCCATTTGTCAGATTTACCGGCCCCGATCTCTTGCTTCCTGGCCTCAGTCTGTCTGATAACAGGCACCTCTTTGCGACCTTTGATGACATTGAGTGGAGGAAGACGAGCTGGCTTGAGCGTCTCCACATCAAACGTCCTCCCTGCTGTCTCACAAACAATATTTCCATTCTCCACCCCCCTTCCCCCTCGTAACGCGAAAACAAGTCCATTTTCTCCAGCGCAATTTCGACTGCAGTATGTCTTTCCGTTGGATGAGACCAGATTCTCACTGTGTTCATGTATAGACAAGACGCCTAAAAGCATGTCTCAGCACCAAGTTACTCAGCCACTATCTCTCACAGTACCTGAGCCGGCGAATGTCGATGGCAATACCCGGGCAATGCAGAGAATCAGGAAGAAGAGCTTTATCAGCATGGCGCTATTTCTCATCAATTTCATCACAGCCCCCTCTCCTCAGATCAGTATTTCATAATCTTTTCTCAGTACGCCCGGTCCAATGGGTTCGTGCGACCAGTCGCAATAACTATCGAAAAACAATGTCAGATCTCAGACCAGAGCATGCATCAACCAATGTCCATGTTGTATTTCTATCGCTATCTGGCTTAGTCAGCAATGCGTTTACAGCCCACATCAGCTATCCGGCATGCATTCCATCAATGTCAATAAATTTGGCAACATCATCGAGCGAGATCTCAACAGACAATATGAAATCCTCCAGTGCATAACAAAGAAAGCAGCAGAGATTCATTCGAAGCTACCCAGCTTTCTGTTTGACTGTGGATGCCAAATCAAGATATCTGATATCCTCTAAATCCAACTAAACATACTGATGCACGGAAAGAACTTGCTAGTTTGGCCTCTGTGCTGGATCAGTTGACACCTATCTGCCTGGAACACATCTGTTTCATGGTGTTGTCAACCCTCTGTCGCCCTCCTCTTCAGCCCCCCTCCTCCCCCTCCTCCCTCCCTCTCCCGCCCCCTGCATGCGACCCCGCCTTCCTCTCCTTCCATGCGTCCTGCTCCTTGCAGACTCCTACCCACCCCACCAGATCACCCCCTATCAGCACCTACCCACCCCTACTGACTTTCATGGATCTATCTTGCACATCTCAGCCACTACCCCCTTCACCCCCACACAAGGACCCTCACCCACCACCTCGAATTCCAAGATCTACCCTACCCGTTGACATCACCTACCCCTACAAAAGTCCACTGTGTCCTTTTATTCACACTACCCACCCAATGCTCATTTGGCCCGTATGGGCCATACTACCCACCCCCCGGTCCTACCAAGAATGCCTGCGATCACCTTGGGTCTTTTGCAGGTATGGCCTCCACCTCTCATCTTTTATAAGTGGCACCTCTACTAAAACTGTCCTACCTCATCTCTTACTCCCTCTACCCGCCCTCGACTCCACAGGCCACCCACCCATGGCATTACACATTACCCCCACCCTCAGAGCACCAGGCATTTGAAGTCCCACCCACCTTACCCTGCTCATGAGCCCTCCACCCCTACCCCCATCAAGTACCCTCCACCCCTCGAAACTTCACGTGAATGCCTGCGGCCTCTTCTCGCACTGCCTTATGAATCGTAACGATTTTTGTAACGACTAGAAGTAAGGACTCCGGTCCGTTATATTCTCATCATTGTAACGGTCACACTTGTCAAATTTGCGGACGTAACGACGTATAGTTGAAATGTAACGGTGAGGAGGACAGGTGGCAAGCCATGGATGAGGCGATAGAAGCGCTCAAGCGCGCTCGCGTGATGCACCAGCTGAAGCCACAGGAGGCTGAGAAGGAGTACAAGAGTATCATAGCACAAGGTTCTCGTCTCTCCTCTTCTCCTCCAGTGTCTGATGTATTGTCATGCCTTCACTCTTGTGTTGGTGGTTTTAGTGCATGCATGATCCTTTAGCCTTATAGCGTCTCGCGGGCTGTTCTTACCTTTCATTCAGATATGGAGGATGAAGAATTTAACAAGACCAAAGAGCAAGCAATATGCAGACTTGGAGATTTGTATGCTGACCAGCGGTCCTTCGAAACAATTCCTTTATGGATCTTGTGCTTACATACCGTTGTCAGGAGAGTGGCTGATATCCAGAAGCTGATGATCGACGTTAGACCTTTCTTCAACAACATTCCGAAAGCCAAGACTGCCAAGATAGGTAGAAACCTTGAGGGCTCCAACCATGTGCTCTGACAACCATAATAATCAGTCCGTACCCTCATTGATGTCATGGCCAAGATTCCTGGCTCGGAAGGAGTTCAGCTGCAACTTTGTCTTGATACGATCGAATGGTGCAAGCAAGAAAAGCGTACGTTCTTGAGGCATCGCATACAGACTCGTCTTGCCAGCATGTGCTGCCATTTGTTTTGTCGATGAACTTGGTTCTCACCTTCAACTCAGGTATTTTGAGACCAAGGATTACACAAAAGCGCTGCAACTTGTCGATGAGCTGTTGAGGGAGGTGAAGAAGCTGGATGACAAGCCACTTCTTGTTGAGGTGTGTGTGAATTACCTCATTTCTATTCAACTTGATTGACCAAATCCTGCAGATCCACCTTGTTGAGAGTAGAACACATCACCAGCTCAGAAATCTTCCTAAAAGCAAGGCTGCTTTGACCTCTGCGCGCACTGCAGCAAACTCGATCTACTGTCCTCCACTGCTACAGGTGACGACCAGGTCTCGCTGCTTGCGGGGATTTATTGTTTCCAACAGGCTCAAATTGATACCCAAGCTGGAACCTTGCATGCAGAAGAGAAGGTGAGGGAGGACCCTAAGTAGGATTTAACAGAAAACTAATTTATTGAACAGGACTACAAGACAGCATATTCTTACTTCTTCGAAGCTATGGAAGCTTTTCAGTCTCAGGAAGATCCTCGTTTTGTCAAATCATTGAAGCATATGCTGCTTTGTAAGATTATGACGAATGCGGTATCATGCTCCCCCCCTCCTCTTTGACGTGGGAAATAATGTACACCCAGTCTGACGAAGTTACTGGCCTGATCGACTCAAAATACGCTTTGAAGAATGGCTCAAGCAAGGTATTCATCCCCCAACGCCACATTTCGGTCTAACGTAATCCATTAGGAATTGGAAGCGATGCGCGCGATTGCGGTTGCATATAAGGAGCGCTCCCTAGCCAAGCTCATCGATACGCAGGTTTACAGCTCGAGCTTTTTGCTTAAGGTTTTTGATGCCTTGTGCAGGAATTGTATACCGAGGAATTGAGGGAGGACCCTGTTACCAAATTTCATTTAGACAATCTGTACAATACGCTCCTAGAACAGAATCTTTCAAGATTGATCGAGCCGTTTTCTCAAGTTCAGATTGCACACGTTGCAGACTTGATCAAGCTGCCTGTGGAAACTGTGGAAACAACTCTTTCACAAATGATCTTAGACAAGAAATTCAACGGAATTTTGGATCAGGGCTCAGGTGCATTGATAGCCTATGAGGATCTGCCAGACAATGCCACGCTCGAAACCGGTCTAGAAACCATCGAGAACATGTCCAAGGTGGTAGATTCTTTGTACGTTAGAGCTGCAAGACTCTCTTAGACCATCTCCTTCTCATATTAAAAGAAAATCCCGGACTTGAATGGCTGCTGGGTGTCTTCTAGCTCTCATGCAATGCATCGCATCAAGCAGAGTTGTAGCAGGAAACCAGCCCTTACTCATAGATGGTTCTTTCACGATCAAATTTATCCTTACAGTGCAATGTACAATTTTCGTTTTGTCAACCTTTGCTTTCAACATCGAAGTGGTTCTCCTGACGCAGTACAAGCGACTTCATCGTCAAAAAACTTAGCCCTACATAGAGTTCAGCATTCCAGCACAACTTATGCAAGTAAAACTTCTTACCTGTTGTCTTGGTCGGGAAGTTTGGGATAGGCTAATCGGTAAGCCTTCACGACCAGTCAGCCGCTGCTACAGCTCATATCACACATCATGCGGATTCTGACCTGGTCGAAGTAGGTCGGATCGCGCAAGTAGTCTTGATCATACTCATCCGTCGCGCCCTTGTAGTAGTTGAGCCCCTGAGGAATGATGTCCTCTTCCTCCTTTGCCTGATACCAGCATCATCAGGGTAGGACACTGAAGGGGAGCGCTCAGCTCTTGCCTCGGGAAGGACAGCATGAGGAATGGTTCTCTGCTCGTTCACAGAATCCCCCCTGTAGTACCCGATGCCCTGTGGGATTGAATCCTCCCCGTCTCGAACGTTCTGGTCAAAACATCAATCTACGATAAATCTCATAGAGCGGTTCAAACCCTTACCTTGAAAGGAGGAGTTGGGGCCGTCTGTCCCCACTGCCACCCAACAGCGTTATGAGCAGGTCGCTTACTCCTTCCCACGGAGCTGCAAGTAAAGCTCAGCGAGCCTCTGCTCAACGTCATCGAAGTTGACCTGATGCTATCGGTATTAGGTTCAGGAGAAACGTGATAATATCCTAGCCCACGAGGTATAGTCCATTCTTTTGTGTACCTGCGCCAAGCCTTTCAGAAATTGCCCTTTGTGCGACAAGCTCATTTACTTCTCAAACCCGGCAACTTCTGGTCTTCGTTCATCTTCGCACGAAAGATCCGAATCTTTATCTGCGCCATATGTCCAAATCAGCTTCAAAGAACATTCAATGTGCTATGATGTCTGGGATCTGATCAGCAAGCAAGAAACATGCAGCACGCCATCAAGACGACAAACCAACGGTTTCATCATCAGCCATGAGTGAACCAAGGAGACACTCGATGCATCACCTTCATCGCACTTGTTCAACTCCTCGATGTTCACTTCCTCCAGCAGACCATATGTTCGCTGTGCTAGTTTGCTGTGAAGGGAGCGAGGAAGGGTTCCATCCTCCCTCACCATCAGCATGACCAACAAGACCACAGCCGCCCCGCATGCTCCCCATCCTGCTACTGTAACGCCACCTCCCTGCATTTTCCACAGCATCCTACTAGGGGTTAGCATCCTACCGGTGCACATTTGGGGATATTTGTATGATTGTACCCGGCACATGATAGACCCCTACCCCCTCTGCCTCCAACGACTCTTGGGATGCCTGAGGCAGGCCGGCGCAATCGCCCAACGATGCTCGCAGGACAGCTGATAACATACGCTGATTCATTCATAGATGTTTTTTCAATGCCTTCTTTTGATGGTATGATTTATCCTGAGGCGGATTCATTAGTAAGAAAGTTATTTTCTGACGCGATAGACTCTAGACTCAAGGAAGTTGGGGCAGACATGCAGAAATGTTCGCTGATGAGAAAATGCAGAAGAGGAGCAGGAGCAGGAGCAGGAGCAGGAGCAGGAGCAGGAGCAGGAGATGGAGCAGGAGCAGGAGCAGGAGCAGGAGCAGGAGCAGGAGCAGGAGCAGGAGCAGGAGCAGGAGCAGGAGCAGGAGCAGGAGCAGGAGGAGCAGGAGGAGGAGCAGGAGGAGCAGGAGGGGCAGGAGGGGGAGGAGGAGGAGCAGGAGGGGGAGGAGGAGGAGGATGCTCTTGTTAAGGATGTGTTTTATGATGATTTCCGCAATGTTACATGACTATGTTTCGTGCGATATATCACAGTGTGGCCATAATTTTGAGAAATGGCTCGGCAGATACTGCATATAGTTCGATGATGGCTACGATGCTGTCGCAGATGAGGATGATGTAGCATATAATAGTTGTCATGAAGAAACGATGACACTGTAGGGAACAAGCTACTTGTGTTTTGTGGCACCATTTGCGACGCCATGACGATGATGCGGCAGGAAGAAATGTTTCCTACAGGCTCTCGTGCTCTGTTGCTTCTTCTGTCTGCGACGACTGCGTGCGAGGCCTTCGTGCAGGTGGGGAATGTTGGCCTGAGCTTGAGATCGGCCCGATCGCCATGCTCGACCTCTATCAGCATGTCTGCGAGCTCGTCGGCTTCCCTTCATCGCAGGCAGGTTCTTGTTGCCTTGACTGCCATCACCCCACTGGCGCTTGTCAAGGACGCCAGTGCAGCAGACAAGTCGGAAGGCGGCAAGCCGGCAGGTAGCGCGTCTCCTTTTCTGCGGAGGAGGAGGATGATATGAGCGCAGGAGAATCCGAAGGAGCGACGGCGATGCAGGAGTGCGACAGCAAGCCGAAGCCCAAGGGAGAGGAGATCTGCGAGGTAGACTACTGAAAGAAGGCTGCATGTACTTTAGCAGGCAGGTTGTGAGAGAAGTGGAGGAATTGAACAGAAGGACAAAGGTATTTGAGAGAAACAGCGGGAGTGGGAAAGTGAACAGAAAGGAACAGAGATAGCTTGTCAAGGTGTCACGTTAGTTGCACCATGCTGGACTGTTGTCAGTCTTGATAACCAACAAGCTCGTCAACCTTGCGCAAGAAGTCGCATGCCTTCTTCCTCGACCTCTCCACTGCGAGCCCCTGCGGTCAGCTCAGACACCTTCACTCCGCCCTCTAGCCATCGCACCATCCCCGTGTATCCGGCCTTGTTCTTGCTATCGACATGCCAGCCCTGCCGCAGACAGTCCTTGCGAGACTGTCAGCGTCCATCTGTCAGCGTCAACCCGTCCTCTACCTCCATGACGCTGATATCTTCGTCCATCACCGCTCTATGTGCCATGTCAGCGACTGCCGCCTGATCTTAGCGCTGACCTGAACCACCTCGACGACATCTCAGCTGGAGACATGGCCTCCATCGCTGACCTCTCCTGCTCCCCAGCACTGCTTTCTGCCGCGCTTCTTCCTCGCTTCTGGCAGCAGGTTGAGCGACACTCGGCGCTGTGTGCCGAGACTCACTGGGTTGAGGATGAGACTGAGCCTGCGAGCTGCCGCCTCCGCGTCCTGCGGCTGCTGGATGATGGGGGAGGCGAGAGTTGAGAATTGAGACCTGAAGACTTCGAACTTGTTGAGACTTGGAGCAGACGGTGGTGTGGGCGCCGAGGCACTTGGAAGGGTTGAGGAAAGAAGAAGCAAGAACGGTCATGTTACCGCGTTCATGCTGAATTCCCATGCTACGAGTGGAACCTGAGAAGGGTGAGAGAAGAATCTGTGAGGATAGGGGGGAGAGGAGGAAGAGGGGGAGATGAAGGAAGTCATCATAGTGAAGGCAAAAGAGGAGAGAGCAACTTCTAGTCACCTGCTGCTGCTGTGGAATCCAGTCGATGCTCTCCACCCATCCATAGACTTCTAGCTTCTCTCCCTTGTTGGACGAACCTTCCCCATGCTCTGCCGCTGGTTACCCGATGAGCCAGTCAGGATGACAAGAGAACGACAACGAAGAGGAGACGAGTGAGAGGTTGACAGGGCGGATTGATTGCAGGAAGGAAAACTCAGTTACCAGGCTGCTGTGCTACGAGAGGCCTCCAGGTCAGGACCGAGAGGAGGGTACAGTGACTGAGTGAGGGATCACTACAACCTGACGAGGGTCTCAGGAAACGAGAGGGTGGAGGAAGAAACCTTCTTTGAGCAGCTTGTTCGTGCACGACAAAATCCTGACAGTCTGCACACGACAAGCGCATCGGTCATCGGACGGCAGCAGATGCAGAGAGCTGTCACCTCAGCAGAAACGAGCGACAAGATTTTGGGGAGGATGTCAACGTTGCTGAAGATCATGGACAAGTTTGCTCCAGATCTCATACCCATGGCCCTCGTGCAGGGGAATCGAGGGCGAATAAGATTCCGCGTGTAGCTGGAGGGAAAAGACTCGCCTCAGACATTGGCAGCTGAAAGGGATGATGCTGAGGTACCCGCATGGAGGAGGAGGGTCGGAAGAGCTTTCTTCGCAAGATCCGTTGGGTGACTTTGACCGATCTAACCTGTTGACAACTCCTCGAAGCCTTGGGAGATTCACTCTACCGACGAGTCAGATGTCAACAAAGGCGTGAGAACAGACATGTAACATCAGAAGAGACAACAGAAGCATCAGCAGCGTCGCCCTCAACATCTCTGGGTTGACCTTGACTTTGGCGAGTAGTTGACTTGAAATCTCTTTACATTCTCCTGTCGCAATCTTTTGAGCTCAAGGTCTTTGAACACTGGGAGATTTTGAACCGGAGGGTAGAGAGGTGAAGCAGGGTTACACTTCCTGGCTGAGCTCAAAGTCTGAAGGCGCATGAGGATGAAGGGGAGGAGAACGCGAGCGCACCTCCGCCTCCTCCTCCTCCTCCTTCGGATCTTCTTGATGCGAGGCATAAGGACAACGCTGAGCACAGGAGTGAGCGGGAGCATTGTATGGAAAGCAGGAGTACGTTAGCTAACATCCCTGTATCTGTAGATGGACGTGTTAGGTTTTGCAACGCACACACACACGTCTTTGAAGACCTGCGTGACAGAAACTCATGTGCATTCCCAAGTCGCATCTGCGCAGGACTCCCGTGCAGCATTGCTGCAGCCATCAGCGTCAGCAACGACTTTCTCCCCCTCCTCGACCCTGACCTTGTCGTCGTCGGTCTCTGTGACCTTGAGCGAGTGTTGCTTCCAGTCAAACTGATCGAGCCTGAGGCAACGGAGAGCAGCAACAGCATAGGAACCTCCACAAACGAGTGCTTGGCCTTGAACAGAGTCCGCGTGTTCCCCGTCGGCCTGCCTGTCAAATCAGCTGGTGGGGAGCAGGGATCCTGTTGGGACCTTGCGAAGCAGCACTTGACACCAGCTGCCTTGCAGTAAGGAAGATGCGAGAGAATCTGACAAGACGGTCGACAATGCCGTCACATGATCCCTCCATGCCCTCCCCCTCCATCCCGCTCCTCCCGCTCCTCCCGCTCCTCTCACCTTCTTCCTGGCCATTCTCTCGGAGCATCCGTATATCCTGTCATGTCAGGGCTCAGCGGCATGGCTGGCACAGGCACTGCATGCCTGCACGGGCAGTCAACTTCCTTCTCTTGGCAGACCTGCAGATGGATCAGCGAACTTGATGCAGCGACAGCGGCGGCGGTCGAGCTCGTCTTTTGCAGCGTCACGACGAAACAAGGGTACAACAACGGGGATCACACGTCAGGAGCAGGAGCAGGAGCAGGAGCAGGAGTAGGAGTAGGAGTAGGAGTAGGAGTAGGAGGAGCAGGAAGAGGAGGAAGAGGAGGAACAGGAGGAACAGGAGGAACAGGAGGAACAGGAGGAACAGGAGGAGGAGGACATGTCGCAGACATCATGGGCAGCAACTTCTCCTCGCATGATCGTCGCATTCTCTTCACCTCCGCGTGATCTGCCGCCCATCCCTCGATCTTCCCCGATGCCCCGCATTCGCAGCATTGGTCCATGCTACGGATCCAAACTTTGCCCGGCATGCAAAGTTTGGATCCGGGGGAAGTTTCTATGGAGTCTAAACTTTATGTACCCCTGTTTCTTATAGTAAACATGCGCTATATTCTAGGGTGGGGTATTTATTGCCTTAAGTTTACAATGTTTGTGCGGATGAAGTTTCCAAAGTTTCGGTTGATTTACAAATTCCATGATGGCATACGAGAGAAAGAATAACAGGAGAGGAGACGAGACGAGACGAGACGAGAGGAGACGAGACGAGATGAGACGAGATGAGACGAGATGAGACGAGACGAGATGAGACGAGACGAGACGAGACGAGACGAGACGAGACGAGACGAGACGAGACGAGACGAGACGAGAGGAAAATGAGAAGTGCTGGGAGTGTTGCTACCTTCCACCTTGCAGTGGGTTACGGGGAACCTGATTGACAGTTAAAAGTCAAATGTCGAGAATCTACACCCACATCAACATCCACATCCACATCCGCATCCGCATCCACGTCATCCATTAGTATCATCGTTGGTATCACTGTCGCCACCATCAACCATCATCACCATCATCATCATCATCATCATCATCCTTTATCTTACGATGTTGAACAGCTCGAGGCCTCTGACTCCATTGGTGTCATTGTTGTACGTGACATTCTTAATGAACGTGGTCCCACTCTTGTCATGTAGTGCTCCTACAAACCCTCAGCATCCTTCCTCCTCCTCCTCCTCATCCTCCTCCTCCTCCTCTCACCGTCGAAGCCTCCAGCTCGGTTGTTTTCGAAGATAGTATCGATAAGATCCAACTTGCCGCTATACAGCGCGACCGCTCCTCCGCTGCCAAGCATCTCAGAGATACACTTCTATCCCCCCCTCTTCTTCCGCCTCTCTCCTCCTCTCCTCAACTACTTGTTGATCGCCACGTTTCCCGAGAAGACGCACGATCGAAAGCTCAGTTGTCCTCCGTTGAGCGTCACTGCTCCCCCGTTCAGCTGGGCTGTATTCCTCTCGAAGCGGCAGCTCTGAAAGTGAGCTTCTCCTCCTCTAGAGTACACAGCTCCTCCTGTCGCCCACGCGTCAGCACAACCTTGTCTCCTGCAACACGCAGGTCACCACCGGAGCTGGCAGTGTTGTCGGTGAAGTTACACCGCACGAACAAGGCGCGTCCATCCTTCATGTACAAGGATCCGCCGAACTGAGAGGCCTGGTGGGAGCGGAACCAGCAGTCGGTGAGCACAGGACTCATCCTGAAGAGCAGGTAAGACCACGAGGAAGTGCGGGAGGAGGAGGTACTTGCACTGCCCGGTGGGACTGGAAGGAAGGAGAGCTAGCGAGCAGCCTCCGACGGCTCCTTGAGCATTGACGGACCCAACTCGATCTGGGATGACCCGACGGAACACAAGAGCTCCTCCGTCCTGCTCCTCGTCATCGCAGACGGCACAACCGCGACCTGGCGGTACCTGAGCGGCGCATCCTTGGATGGTGAAGCCTTGGATAGCCACCAGGATGTCGCTGGACGGAGTGAAGATGCCGACAGGCCCTTGCCCGCCACAGTCGATGATGGTGTTGTTGGGGCCCTCGGTGCTCGTGAGGGAAAGAGTCTTCTGACTGAAGTCAAGGCCGTAGTTGAGCTGCAGCTCGTCAGCACTTGTCGTGACAGGCTCCCCGCTCTCACCTCTCCCGAGTAAGTACCGGGCAAGGCAAAGATCCGCCCGTTCTGACTCGCTTCTACCAGCACTTGACGCAATGAGCTGCCAGTCGTCAGCGGCTGCTGCACCTCACCCTCACCCTGCTCCCTCACTTGCACGGCAGCTGCTCGGTCCCGCAGTTGATGGAATACATGCTGGTGTTGTCGGGGACTTGACTCAGCATCCCGATGCTAGCGGTGCGAGTTGAACCGACGTAGGAGGAGATGGTGGCTGACAGCCCCTGCCAGTCTCTTCAGACAAGCACAAGGAGGGGGGGCAGGGAGAGCTTACAGCTGCACTGCCGGCGACTATGGTGAGCTGGAGGCCGTTGTAGGTGTTGTCAACGGAGGAGGCGTTCTCTGCCAGGACGACCTGCCCACTTTGCCATGACTGGATGTAGCCCATGGTTTGATCCACTCCGATCACAGGCGAGGTGTAGTAGTCGACCTCCTTCTGCGGGCGAGGAAGAATCTCGATTGTGATGGAGGCTGAGGCGGTCAGGCAGGGTTTCTGCACCCCCGAGTCGTCGGAGAACCCGGTGTTGCAGTTGTCGTTGACGGTCAGTGTGAGCAAAGTCTGCACGACGCTGCTGATGTCAACGTTCTCTAGACCGAAGAAGACCGTCACTTCCTCCAGGGCCCACTGAACGTCCGGCAGGAGGCCCGAGATCTTGCAGTAGTTGGTCAGCGTGCACTTGTTGCAGGGGCAGGACCCCTGCTGGGGACATGGGCAGTCTGGATCTGGAGATCCGTCGGGGGTACCGAGGAGGAGGCTCCTCTGTCCGTAACTTCGAACCCTCGTGAGGTCGAAGAAGCCCTTGCCAATGCTCAACGTCGCCGTCATGTAGCCCTGCGCCTGCACCTTGTCCCACCTGGGCTTGTTGAGGTCGACGTCGCCTACCTTGATCCCCTTGATGTAGACCCTCTTCCCGGGGAAGACCGAGTAGGTCGACGAGCCCGGGAGGATAATGAAGGGAGGGACATTGTACGGCCCCGCCACGAGCGTCAACGAGATGCTGATGGCCGCCGTCAAGGCCCCGAGCTCTCCGGAGTTGCCCCGGTCGTTGACCCGCAAGGTGATGGTGTCGGAACCGAAGGTGTCCGCGCTCTGAGAAGATCAAGTCAGAAGAAGCGACAACTCGGTCAACTCACCAGGTAGTAGATGTTCTGAATCGCGTTCTGACAAGCTCGGTAAGAGCAGAGGAAACGTTGGAACAAGGCGTCTTGAGTTCCGGTGCCGTTGAGGTAGCTGAGCTGGTTGGCGTTGAGGTTGGTGAAGGCGCCCCGGGTCGCCGAGAAGGTCACTTCCATCAGACCCCCGGACCACATGGCGTCCGAGTCGTAGAGCGACAGCCCTCCGAGTCGGAACTGGTACGCCTTCTGTATCTTCCAGGCCTGCTTCTGGGTGGTGAGGAGGGGGGGCTGGTTGAGAGGCTCGGTGAGGACTCGCACGTCCAGCAGCACCTCCGTGTGCGGGAAGGGCCCCAGGCACCTCGAGGTCTTGACCCGCTTGCTGTACGCTAAGCCATTGTACCTGTAGGGCTCGATGGGCACGCGCGGGAAGTCACCCCGGTAGAAGTAGGCGTTGGGGAGCGTGGAGGGGCTGGCAGAAAGCCAGTCGATCTGCTTGAGCACGTCGAGCCCGTCCCAGTTCGAGTTTCCGAGCCCCCAGTTGGCGGGAGGTCTATCGGAGAAGCCCAGGGCCGGCTGAAAGGGCTCGTAGGGCTCAGCCCATGGAAGGCCGGAGTACTGCCCGAGGCCCACGGAAGGGATCTGACGCTGCTCGATGACTCCCGCAATGACGTCAGGAATCAAGTACTGGAAGCCCGCGCACGTCAGGTCCGCATCGCAGATCTGCTGGGCGACTGCTAGGGTGTCCACCCTCTCGAGGCGATACAAGCCCTGGGGGAGCCACATGACGTTGGTCTCCTGGATGTAGTCGTGCAGGGCAGGGACATCCTCGATGCGCACCCGAAGGATGTTACTGCCATACAAGGTCCTTCCCGTCCTGTGAGCTCTTCAGTCCCTCCTCCGCCCCCATCGCCTTCCTCCTACCTCGGCCAAGACTGAAACGGCCACGGAGATTTCTGTGTGTAACCAGATCCAGCAGAAGAACCTGATCGCAGCGTTACCACCACCGTTACGACAACCACCTCTACTGGGATAATCTCAATCTTCACCTCCACCTCCTTCTCGATCCCCATCTCAACGTCCACCTTCCACTCCTACATCTCTGCTAACTGCATCATACCACAGATGGAAGACGGGCACTGGAAGCTGACGGCAGGAACTCTATCAGAACCATCGTAGGTTTCATCCAGCCAAGGGAAGACGACGGTGATGTTATTGATGGAGTCCAAGACGTCTTGATGGGTCCCAGTGAAGGTCATTCTGTAGTCCTTCACTCCCGTCCCCAGGTGTCGGTGCTGCTGATCATAATGGAACGTCAACCGTCCGACAGACCCGGTCTCGTTGTTGAGCGTCATGTAAGGGTTCCGAACGTCACAGAACCATCTTCCTGCACGGCATTCAAACCAGTCCATGTGATATCCTGTAACATTGGCTTCGGGGATGTTTGTTCGGGAGTAGTTCGCGTTCTGGATGGCGATAGTCACTTTCCAGAGGTTGGTTTCGTTGCAGGGGGAGGAGCTGGCGTTGAGCTGCAGAAACACTCGCCCCTTCCCCCCCTCGTCCAGCGTCAGGTACATGGCTTTCCCAGCCGGCGACCAGAACGTGTCAGGATGTCGCTGGCAGTCGCGCTTGAGCTGCGCTGAGCTGCCATCGCCGGCAGGAAGCTGCCCGTACCATCCGATCTGCGAGGAGGTGCCTCCTGTGCCATTGTTGGAGAACCTGACGTCGCCAGCCACCGTGTCCCCTCCGCAGGGGAAGAAGTCATCGCCGATGGTGCTGGCAGCTCCGTTCTTGAGGTAGCTGACTCCAGGCCTCCAGGGGAACCTCCAGGACTCGTCGGTGTTGCGGATCTCAACGACTGGAGGGACAAGCAGAGGCTTCACGACCAGCAAGAAGTTGAGAGCGCTCGTGAGAGTCGGATCGATGAGCGGGAAGCCTGAGCGTCCTTGATCGTTGATAGCGACATACAGGTACTCCGTACCGAGCTGGTGGGACTGGAAGTGCATGGCGGCAAGAGCTCGGTTGGCCTGCGCTTGCGTGACGTTCAAGACGATGTGAGGGAGAGACTGGTTGAAGGCTCCGACCAGGAACTGAGGAACAAACTTAGGAATGGAGTAGAGCAGGGGGTCAGCTGGAGGCGGGTCATAGACGTCGGAGATCCTAGCGAGGCCAGAGGTCAGGACGGTGAGAGTCACGAAGTCCGCCTCAGGGTCCTGCATGGAGAGGGGACTGAGAGCGGCCTCGTATCCTATCGGGAGATCTTGGAGTCCGATGTTGCCGCTCAAGACAGGAGGCAAGTTGGGGTCAGTGATCGACACATAGCTCGTCAGAGCAAACGGAATTGGGCTCGCAAACTCCTGAGTGTAGACCTGAAATGTGAGCACGTCGCAGCCAACGTTGACGCGGTTGAGATTCTTGCTGCACTGCAAATCCATCTCCACAAACGAGAGAGAGGCGATCATGGAAGTGGCCGTGTCGATCGGCGTCCAGACAGACGTGTAAGATGGCAGCAAGGTGCAGTATGCCGATGGAAACGCATTGCTGGTAAAGACATTGTTGTACTCGGCGATTCCAGCAAACTTCTGCATCATTGCGAGGATGAATGCTGGCTGCGTTCGGCAATCAACGTCGCAAGGTGTGATATTGTACTTGTCGAACAATGTGATTGAATCTGCCGTGCTCAGACATGCTGTGCTTGTTGCGGCAACAGCGCTATAGACGGTTGGAACTACAAAAATTGTAGATGACTTCTCGCTCGCAATCTTTAGCTGAAGACATCCAGTCTTATCTTTTAAGCATGCATCCAGTGAAGCAGAAGAAGTGTAAGCTCCTCGCGGGACCAAACTCAAATTCAACGGTTTGATCTGATACAGTCCAGAATACACGATGCTGCCGTGCCCGGATTGAAGTGTAAAGTTTATGCACTCCACGCATGCAAACAACAATTGTACGAGAAGAACGTGATAATGCAACCATTGTGAAAGAGCAGTCATATCGAATGTTGTTTTCATGCAGTCAGCTCTTTGTTCTCTTCACATATTGGCCAAGTGGAAAGCTCTTCGAGGTGGAGGTTCATGAGGGGAGTATGTCTTGACGAGCAGAGAGCAGGGAAGCAAGTTGTGATCTCCGAAAGCGTCGGAGCATGGGAAATGCTCCTCGAAGATGATTGGGGAGGAGGGGACGTCGCCCTCCTCGCGTCACTGTGGCATGCGGTTGCCGTCAAGATAGGGTGAGGAGGGGAGGAGGGGTACTTGCAGCATGAGATTTAGAGGAAGGGGTTGGTAGGGTGGTAGCCTGGGGTGGGGTAATTGGGGGATGAGGGCAATGCTTCAATTCATTCATTTAAGTTGACGACTCTCTCAGATCTCCCGGGTAGAGTCAAGACAAATGTTTGTACAGCAGTCGATCACAACACATGTTTGTACAGCAGTCGATCACAACACATGTTTGTACAGCAGTCGATCACAACACATGTTTGTACAGCAGTCGATCAGAGGCTTCCAGGAGCTGACGGACAAGCCGCCTGACTAGTTGTGAGCACGTCTCAGTCATCAGCGTGCTTGCACCTGCTTCTCTATAGATCGCTCTAACCGACGAGCCAGCAGGAACTGCTCGCGCAGAGGTTTCAGAAGGAATAGGAGGAGGAGAGATGCAGGAGCATTTCACCTCCTCCAGCAGGCTATCCGAGTCTTGATGGCTCCCGCTCTCAGTGCTATGTGGATTCACAGGACCGGGATCTCTCTCCGACCTCCTGTCAGGCCATCATGCTCGGATCACAGAGCGAGGAGAAGGTACAGTTTGCTCAATCTCTCTCGCACGCCCTTGAGATCTTGTTGGATCCTTTGAGTTCGCTGGTGTCTTCTTCCGAACAAAGATTCCTGCACAGCAAGCGAGATCACAAGGCTTCACCCGACATGACTATCAGCGAGATACCTGAAGTGCGAGCACCTTGCAATATTGCTTCTCTGCTTCTTCAAGGTATTCAAGGCTGTTGTATACGATCAACAACCATGTCGATTTCAGATCGCCTCACCTCTTCTCGCAAGGGATTCGGCTCATAACGTTGTAGACTAGCGCGATGTTGCATCGCATTCTGATTGAATCTGTGTGCTCCTCACCTGCTCTAGACCCTCGCATGTCAGCCTCGCATCACGAGCAGGCGTATCCTACCCCATTAGATAATGATCCAGCGACTCTTGATAGCTCTCCAGCGCATTCAAGTATTCCGCTTCTAATTGAGCGACCTGCCATCAAAGGTCACTGAGCACACGTACATGTAGTTTGAACCATCCTATCACTGAGAACAAGTACATATAGTTTGAATCGTCCTACCGTCCTGTCATGCTTAGACTTGCCGCTTAGTATACATCCAGCTCTGCAGTAGTGCACATAGCCGACTGTAAGGACAAGTCAAAGGCAAGACTGAGATGCAGCCTCGTCTACCGGCCATGATCGCCTCAGGCAGCTGCTTGTGCTGGAGCTTCTTCCTAAGGTCCTTGGCTTCTTTTATCGACTGCTCAGCCTGCAGCTTATGTCAACCTCTCAATGCGCTGGATCAGCAGCCGCAACACCATCGTGAAGGCGTCTGCGCAGGTCAAGTCCTGCATGGGGGTGAGCGAGAGCTCGAGTGCAGCATGTCTCACCTCAATGTCTCCGTCCAAGGACGTGTTGCACAGGCTCTTGCCTTGCATGAGCAGCGACGAGGCGAGATAGTCTTCTAGCCGCGCTCTGCCTCACGTCCCCGTCAGACATCGAGTCGGACGTCAAGGCTACGGAACCGCATGGACTCAGATGTGACGCTGGCGAGCAGCTGGCGAAACACCATGGAAGCGCGTTGAGCATACTAGAAACGCTCTCAACATGGCGTCTCTCATCGCAAGATGTACCTTGGCAGACTTGAGTGAGAGGTACTGCTGTTGGCCAGTCACGTCGATATTGCTCCTGTAGTCGTAGATCGCCCCCAGGGAGTGAACAAATCTCCCATATCTCAACGACTCGTCGTTCTCCTTCAGCTCCTGGCAAGGCGTCAACGAGCCAAGACCACAGCAGGAGCCCCGGGACCAATTCCGATGCCTCGCTGATCAGGTCTTCTGCTTTCTGGAAGTATCCTTGCTTCACCAACTCTAGCCAGCACCTGCCCAGCACGTCACCATCGCTCATCTCTGCGCATGCATGCATCACTCCGGGTCCAGCGACCGCAAGTATGCCTTTCGACGGGAATCCTGCATATGACGATGTAAGGTCGACGGTGACTTCTGGTCCTCAACACCTGATTCAGGTATATCTTGTCAGCGTCGTCGGGCTTCACGGTCTGAGTCGAGATGGGCCCGTCAGGGTTGGCGTCTTCTCTTGGAACATTCTTGTGCTCGTTGTGCGCTTGCTCGTCGCGGGTTGCTGGGGGAGGCTTATGACTTGTGTCATCGTTCAAGAACGTTTCCAAGAAGCGACTCTGTGATGAGCAGCTTGTCAACGATCGGAACTTCAATTCAAGATCTCACCTTGTCCAACGTGCTGCTCGCAGCTTGCGCATGCTCGGACTTGTGGATTCGAAGTCTGTTGGCCGGGTCCTTCCAGGTCTTGAGATGCAAGTGCTCCTCTATCGGATCTATCTCCAAGTCCTCCGGATACTCGTGGAATTCTGAGTTGGACGACCACTTGCACCCCATCCTGACCATGTTGAGTCAGCTCAGAGCCAACATGTTGCAGCCACAAAGATGCTTGACTGAAGTCTATAACACCGGTGAGCATCGATGAACTGAGAACGAGCGAGGTAGGCTAGGACACGACAAGACAAGAAAACGTGTATGGTGGATGAGGAGGAGAGAGTGAGGGTGTTGTGGGGTCAGGTTGCTGCTAGCGTCTCTTGTTTCCCTTCCTCTCGCTCCTCTTGCTCGCACTGCCGCAGTGTCTTCTTCTATCTTTCGGCATTCGTCATCCCTTATAGTACCCCTGGTTCACCATGTTTCAGTACCCCACTACCCCCAAAGTGACGGTAAACTGCATTGGTCACTACCGCGACTCGTAGCTGCTCACTAGTGTCACAGTGTCCTCGTACTGATTTTTAACTTAACTTTAAGTTGAGTAAAGTCACGCGCGGGCGCGCCGCCGGAGGCCCGCTTCGGCCCGGCGGTCCGAGCCCCGAGTCGGAGTCCGATCAGGCCCCGGCCTGCCGCCCGGCGCCCGGCCGGGCGGCCGGCCCCGCGTGTGTCACTGTGCCGAGGCTGACGGCGGGCCGGGCCCGGGGGGGGTCGGGGCGGCCGCAGTGCGTCTGTACGGCCGTGAGGCGGGGCCCGGGGGCCCCCGGCACTGCAGCTTTGAACGGTAGCCCGCCCCCGCGGCCGCAGTCACCGGCGGGCTCGGCCCGCGGCGCCCGAGTCACTGAGTCACTCCGCCCGCGGCCGGCGGAGTGGCGGCGGCGGCGTTACGGGGCCGGCCCCCGGTGGGCTCACCCTGCCGCTTGGGCCTCAGTGGTAATAAGGCCGGTTGATTATACAGTTCCCCCGCTGAGGCCGGGCGGCCCGGGGAGTGACTATGGCGGCCCGGGCCGGGTCCGATCACCGAGTCGGAGGTTGGCACCCGGCGGCCACTCAGCCCTCGTTGGCCGTTACATTTTGCGATAACGGAAGAAACTAACGGAAAGCTTTCATGCGGTTGGGAGCGGGAGCGGTGACGGTGGGAGGATGAAGAAGGAGGAAGAGCTCAGTAGGAGAAGATAGTCGTTAGCATCCAGACAAGCCAGTGCTCACCTGAGTTTGACAAGTTCTGAGCGAGGTAGGGAAAGAGAGATGGAGGGGTTTGAGTTAGGAGGAGACGGGTGCGTCACCGGACTGTTCCACTACCTCTGGAGCAAGAACCATGCCAAGAAGTCGTGTCCTCTTGTCAACATTCCAGACACCATTGTGTACAAGTACAGGCAGCCAGCCTACTGGTATTTCACCTCCAGGGATCCAGCTGCCGGCATCAAGATGAAGAACAAAAGCAACCTGGGCAACATCAAGGTAGAAGAAGCTCTGAGCAGCAAGCCCGGACACTCGAGCTGTGAGATCGTTGCATACTACATCTGCAGCGTCAACAGCGTGACTGGATGCAAGACAACCATCGAGCACTTCGACTATGACGGTCTGAGGGAGTTTCTCTACAACTACGACAAAGAGAACAATGGCATACTTCAGCGGTTTGTGGACAGTAAGGGAGGAAGCAACGCTCTGTATCGAGCCATCTGGTCTCCGAATGTGTTCCATGTCGAGAGGAGAACCAACAAGATCGAGCTGTCTGACAGGAAGCACAATTTGCACAACCGGGTTGTAACGTTCGAGGGCGACGAGCACTATTCAAATACTTTGACTGTTACCGACACCATGCTCGGATCTCAGATCCAACGGATCTGCGAGAGCATCGTAACTCACTGCTCCTCTCACCTCAACGCGCAAGGGCAAGCCTCGCACATCTCCAGGATGGTCCTGCACTTCAAGGTTGCCTCGTCTCTCCCCTTCCTCTCGTCCTTACCCTATACCTTCTTCTTCAGGTGGATGAGAACAACCGCGTTTGGTTTCTGTGGTGTAGCAGCATGCGATTGTCACCAGACGACCTGCTGGCGTACACTCTGCGAGATAGGACACCGCTCGATATCCACTCGGTGACCTATCGCTCCTTCTCCTCATCCCCAATCTCCTTGTCCTCTTCCTCCCCCTTATCCTTCTCAACAACCTGCTCACTGTTATCTTCCTACAGGACCTTTCCGTTCCCGAGTACATCAAGAGGTTTCTTGGGCCGCGAGGAGACGTCCCGTCACGAGGCAGCGGCCATGGGAAGAAACGAGAGTTTGTCTGCGGACCCTGTCTGCTCGTCAACGGCGACCGTTGCGCTAAGGTGAGGACAAGTTCAAGTTCTTGATTTATGCGTGCGGGGGGGGGTGGAAGAAGTGAGGAGGAGGAGGAGGAGGAGGAGGAGGAGGAGGAGACGGCAGATGACTTTCCGCCAGGTTGTTGACAAGAGCAGGAGATGTGAAGTCACGTACAAGATGGTCATCGAGTTCTACGAGCAGAGGAAAGGAGACGCTCCCTCGGAAGCAGGTCAAATCTCTTGGCCACTTGCGTCATCATGGGCTGTAGCTCGCCCTCACCCTGTCCTCATCCTCCTCTCTCTCCTCCCTCCTCCTCGTTCTCACAGTCCCGACAGAGAGATTGCCGTGGATGGACGAGGAGGTCAAGTTTGACCTCAACGACCATTTTGTCCCAGCGGCTGAGCAAGAATCGTCTAGCCCCGAGGAGAGGTGATGGTGGGGGGATCAGGATTCCCGCTCGCTGAGCAGACAGTGCAGGGTGACATCGCCGACGGAGGAAGGGATGGAACCTGTTCCCCTAGTCTTCAAGAAGCTGCATCCTAACTTGACCCCTTCCAACTACGCCATCCTCAAGAAGGTGAAAGCCCCTAGCAGCGGCCCAGCAGCGTCTGATGCTTCTGCAGGACCCTCTCTTCCTCTACTCCCGCATGGCCGTCTGCGATCAATGCTTCCTCATCTTCACCGAGTATCACTCCCCTGTCCTCCCCATCGTTGAGAAGGTGGCCGAGCAAGGAGCAAGGTGGGAGGCTCTAGATGACCTTGCTGGTGCAGATGCCTTCCTCTCTACTCATGGATCGCTTCCCTGCCAGCTTCTCCAACCAGACCTCCTCCTCCCTTGTCGGCCATGAAGCCTCTTCCTTTAGTCAGGTGACTGCCCCTCCTCCTCCTTCTCCACTCACTCGCCCTGCTCTGCAGCTGCAGGACAGACGTCCGCACTCGATCAGCCCGATCCAGAGGGGAGGAAGGGACTCTGTGCTGTCGGGCAAGACAACTGCCATGGGAGTGCACGAGGAGAGAAGCGCGGAAGTTTCGCAGGCCTCCATGAAGAAGGGCGAGCATGACAGGAGCGCTCCTGCTGCCCATGGCCGCACGAACCTCAACCAGGTGGTGATGGGTGGAGGCCTTGGGGAGGAGAGGAAACGCCGTCCGCGGCTGGTGCCTCCAGTGGATGAAGGGACCCGCCCTGTGCGGCTGGCAGGATACACCTACGCGGGGAACTCGCGGCTGAGCAAGGCGCTGAGGAGGAGCACGCGGTTGGCTGAGAACTTTGTGTCCTCTGTCTCCTCGGGTCAGTTCACAAAGAAGGTGGAGGAACGAGTTCAGCCCCTCCAGCTTGCCCCCAGCCCTCCACCGCTAGACTTCGTCACGAGCAAGGTGACGACTTCCCTCCTGCCCTTGCACTGGAACGCAGCCCTCTCTCCTCTCTCCTCTCTCCTCTCTCCTCTTCCCCCCCCCACCCCCCCCCCCCTTCTTTGAACCCCCCCTTCTTCCCCTCCTCCCCCTCCTCCCCCTGCTTCAACCTTCTCCCTTCCTCCCTCCCTTTCCTGACGGATCTCCCAGAACTACTCAGAGCTCAACGAGCTGTCTGACGCCAGCTTTGCCCTGGCGGTGCTGGAGGGCGAGGAAGCGTTCTTGCAAAACCTCAACCCCATACCCAAGCCCGACCGGAGCAAGAGGAAGGAGAAGGAGATCGCCAACGCTGCGAGCAAGAAGGCCAGGGAGAAAATCGTGCGAGCGAAGAAGCAGCAGAAAGCTGAAGAGGAGGAAGGGGAGGCTGAGACTGAGGGAGGTAAGAGATCGGCTGTGAAGGTGATTGGTAAGAGCAAGGGCGCCAAGTCTCTGCTAGAAAGATCTCCCTTCCTCCCCGGAAACGCAGTTATCGCCTCCAAGAGGAGGAGCGCCTCTGCTATGGAGGCCCTTCACCCGCCCCTGAGTGAGCAGGACATGCAGCGCATCCTCCACTCCTACGAGCAGCAAGGAGGTGGTGAGCTGCCTGCCGGAGTCAAAGCTGCGATCGAGATGGCGATGGATATCAGGAACGGAGCATATCAGAGCTCTGAGGAGACGGGAGGCAAACAAGTGAGAGACAAGGTCCGGGTGGATGACAAGAAGCATGAGAACAAGATCAAGGAGGGGAAGCGGCAGGAGGAGGAGCAGGTAGCATCGCAGTCATCCTTTGTGTGTGCTTGCCTCACTCTCCTGTAGCAGCAGCAGCAGCAGCAGCAGCAGGCTTCTCTCCTCACCTCTGGTCCGCCTGTCCAGCAAGCAGGTCACGTGAGGAAGTTTTGCGGCCTCTCTTGCTCACCTTGGCTGCAGATCCCAACTGGCGCCCGAGCACCGGAGGAGCTGAGGTCCAGCTTGACCCATCCGACGCCCTCAGTCCAGACCCTGTCCACCAGACCAGCATCGAGCGCTCGATGGAGCAGGAGAAGGAGGAGGAAGAGGGGGGGATGCTCCCGGCGGAGGAGCCGAGGGCTGCGGAGGAGGAGGATGGGAGGGAACTAATGCCCGTTGAAGGGGACGGGAAGGAGGCGGGGGGGAAGAGGGACGATGAAGTAGAAGGTGGCGCTGGACGGGCAGGAGGCCAAGGAGATCAGAATGCAGAGCATGACGTTGAAACCGCCGAACTTCGTGAGCAAGGACAGGAGGAGGAGCAACCCCAACAGGAGCGTGAGCACAAGGAGCAAGCCGGGCGTGGAGAGCAGGAGGAGGAGCGTCGAGTTGAGTCACTGCAACAGCCCGAGGATGAGGTTGCAGTGGTTGGAGAACAGCTGGGGGAGGAGGGGAGAAGAGCAGCCCACCATGATGCTGAGAAGGAGGAAGAAGCTTCTCAAGCGCTACCAGAGCAGACGGAGCATGCACCGACTGCAGTGGAGGCTGACGAGAAGAATCCAGAAGAAGCGACTGCGGTGCGACATGGAGGTGCAGCTGAGATCGCCAATGAGGAGGAGGCACGTGAAGGCGAGGGCGAGGAAGAAGAGAACGAGGAGGAGAAGGAGGAGGAGGAAGCAGCTCGTGTGCAGACAGGAGAAGGAGGGGAGGATGAAGTACCAAGGGGGGGGGAGGAGAAGCCGGAAGCCAAGGAGGAGGTAGTGGAGGAGTCAGAACAGCAAGGGAACGAAGCTCCTGTGGTTGAGGTCCAGGGAAAAGGAAGCCCCGGGACAATTCAAATCGAGCAAGAGTCGCAGGCAGCAACAGCAGAGCAGTTGGAGGATGCAGTCAAGGAGTTGGAGGAGCAAGAGGTTGGGGAGCACGAGTTGGAGAAGCACGAGGTGGAGGAGCTGGAGCAGGAGGAGCGGGTGGCGTCAATTGAGGTCGGGGAGGGAGGGGACTCGGCAGAGGCCGGCCGAGAAGATCAGGTGGCGGCTCAAATGCCACAAGGAGATGTGAAAGAAGAAGAGGAGGGAGTAAACGAGGAGGAGGAACAATACTCGATGGCTCACTCCAACGAGGAGAAGAGAGACGAGGAGGAAGAAGCGGAAGAAATGGCCGCAGAGGTGGGCGAGGAGGAGAAAGCGGAGGAAAGGGAGAAAGAGGAGGAGAATGTACAGAAGGCGGAGCAGGAGTCTCAACCTCTCGCGCCTTCAACGATCGATACATCCTACGAGGCAGCAACAGCAGCAGAACATGCTCATCATGGAGGAGGCGACGAGAATGCAGGTCAGCCTGGTCAGGAGGAGACGCAGCAGCAAGACCAAGACAACGAGGAGGGGCTGCAGAAGCAGGAGGCGCATGGGGAGGACGAGAGGGAGACAGCTGCTGAAGGTGCTGAAGATGAAGGGAAAGTAACATCAACGGAGGAGCAGGAGCAGGAGCAGGAGCAGGAGCAGGAGCAGAAGGAAGATGCTCATCAAGAAGAGCTGAGCCAGGAGGAGGAGGCGGCTGACCGGGATGGGGAGGAGACGCAATTCACGTCCAAGCAGGAAGAGCATGGGCACTACCGGGAGGAACGGGAGGTTCCGGCGGATCCTCGTGACAAGGAGAAGCGAGTCATGGAGGGTGCGGAGGAGGCGGATGGGGCGAGGAAGGCGCAGGAGGAGGAGCAGGAGCAGGAGCAGGCGGAGGCGGAGGCGGCGGATGGGGCCAGGAAGGCGCAGGAGGAGGAGCAGGAGGAGGCGGAGGCGGAGGCGGCGGATGGGGCCAGGAAGGCGCAGGAGGAGGAGGAGGGAGGTTCAAGTGTTGAGGTCAAGCGCGAGGGAGAGCAGGAGGATGTGACAGATGTGGGTGGTGTCGAGGAAACGGTCAATGCAGATGGGGAGGAGGAGGGGCAGCAAGGGTCCGCAGAGACAGAAGTAGCTGCGCAGGTAGAGAGCAGAGCAGAGGAGGAGAATGAAGCAGGAATGTTGATAGGAGAAGATGTTACAGCGAAGGAAGAATGGCACGATGAGACGATCGCAGGGGAGCATGCAGGAATGCTGAAAGAGTAAATCGCATGCAGTTGTATCTATTAATGTGCTACAACCCCAACTTGTCCACATGCTCCGAGCTGGCAAATTCAGTTGATCTCCTGGTGGTGCAGCAAGAGAAGAGCAGCGAGAACTCACTTGAGAATGCGATCGACAACTTCATCTGACAAGCTCGCAAACTCACCGTAGAATTGCAGCAACAAGTCCTCCTCTTCCTCGTACGCGATGATGTACTCCCGCACCACAAAGGCAAAGGAGTCCAGGAGGTCCTCGTACACTCGCACGTCAAGGCCGGCTGGTGAGGCCATGCCGGACCCGATCCACGTGTCGAAGATCAGCAGCGGCGACTGGGCATCCTTGTCCTGCTGGGCCGCTGCCATGGCTGCTTCTCTCTCCACGAGAGTCTGGCTGCCTGCTCGAAGCCGACTGAGATGTTCCCGCACCGTCTTAGCGGCTTCACTGATGGACCATGACGAAGAGACCTGGAGCGGCTGGGAGAGGCAGGAGAAGTCTCCCCCTGCTGCCTCGCGCTCCCTGCGAGGTTTCAGGGTGTGGAGCACCATGATGCGGGCTGTTGGCATGCACGTCCCAACAAGGAGGGCGCTCAGGAGCATGGCGACCTCGTTCCGAGTATGCAGACCCGTCAGCTCCCTCGCGCTCTTGAGCTCTTCATGCGAGATACGCAGACATTCTCTTCTTGTCTTCACCATTGGTGTTGGAAGCGGAAGAGGAGGAAGCTTCATGATGTCTGCCGGCACAAGCTGCGGGTTGACCCCATACCCGTCAAGTAGGAGCCCCATGGAGGAGGCGTCATGGAAGCGATGGTTGATTGCTGCTACCAGTCCCTCGTCCTCCATTACACACACCACCAGATACTCTTCTTCTCGCTTCATATGATGTACAGCCATGATGGCGGGCATGAAATCTTTCATACTCCCTGCCTGAATCTGCTCGCAGGCCGCAGCTTTTGCCATGCCTTTGGTTAATCTCGACACGATACAATCTCTTGTCTTTGACCAGTTACTCTCTCTGCCTTTCTTTGCTCTCCAACCCATAACTAGCGGATGATCGTGCGCATTCTGAAAGGCTGTCACTCCTTCCTGCGGCATATAGCGCTCTTGTCTTTGTGTCCCCTTCCTGTTCTCCTGGCACCTGGCTCTTCCTGTAGCCTCTCCTTCTCGTCGCTCCTCCTTCTACCTCTCCCTCCCCTTCGCGTTCGTTCCTTGCCCTCTAGTGCGTGTGACCTTTTTTGAATCAAGTTCCCCTCGTCATCCAAATAAGAAAAATACAAAGGCAGTAAATTATTTCTCTAATCTAATAGTGCATTCTCTTAAGTAAAATAAAAAGAAACTGTTGGTGGCCAAAGCCCTCAGAAAGGGTCCTTGGTAACTGCCTTGGTAAGGTAATGGCAGTAAAAATAGAGGGGTGGTTTACGGTCAGAAGGACGGGTGTAGATATATTGATACAACAGATTCGGAGACGAAGGAGTTAAATTAGTAAGCAGGAGGGAGGGAGAGGAGGCTGTGGAGAAGAGCGAGGAAGGGAGGAGAGAGGAAGGGATAGGAAAGGAGGTGAGAGTGAATGGATGAAGCAAGGATGAAAGAGAAGATACTGGGGGAAGGTGGGAGAAGAGAGGATTGGTGCAGCCTGAGCTCAATTGAAATGGTTTGCTAGGAGGGAGAAATCTTAAAACCTCGTGATCATGCTGCTGCTGCTGCTGCTGTCTCTGCTGGTCAAGTACAACTTCGATCGTAATGTTCATTGCCATAATCATGTTTGTCGTGCCATATTCATCATCATTCTTTTGACAGCATTGCAATTTCATGCAAATATGATTAAGACTTTACTAAAAGATGGCGGTAGTAAGATGATTTCTTATTTTATTATCGAGATGGTGTAAATGAAGAAGATGGATGATAACATTGAGGATCGGGGTGGTAATGGTGACAATGATGATAGTAAAGGCGGTGATGATGATACAGGTAAGGATGATTATGATTGACATGTTGATTTGCTGACACGTGCTCTCTCACTTTCGATCTCTACTTTGCGAAGATGGGGTTAATGAAATGACTGCTGATTGAATCGCATGTTCATTATGATATGATTTCGATGGTAACGGGGCCATAGGTGTAAGTTGTCGTTGTGGTAAAACCATAACGATTTAGATAATGACCATGAATTCTTGCATAATGTTTACAGAATTGACGAGGACAGAGATTATGACATGACAATTTATGGCATTTTTTGCCAAATCATTAAAACATTGGTGTTCGAATAAATTGTTAATTACCGTGAAGATACCACAGAAACAGGTACTTGTTTCTACTACTTGATATTGCGAGTACTTGCAATCGCATGCTCTGCAAGTAGTGCAGCCCCTCAGGCGATCCAGTCATCAATGAAATATTCTCTTCATTGTTACAGAAAATACAAGTATTTGTACAGAGAAGCCATCGCCCTCGTTGACATTTTACAAAACAAGATGCGCGGCATCTGTAAACACAAGTCCAGCATCCGAACCAAACTTTTGAATGAGCTGATGGATGGTGAAATCCGTTGGTCTGTCATCATCGAGAAACCTTCTTGAGGTTTCTTCACGCTTCAGAAAAGGCTCCATGCCTTCGTCGTGCAGCTCATCATCGCTTGCACTCGTTTGGTGCAAGAGGTGTCTTTCACGCTGGGCAACTTTGGTGCGAGCTGGAAGAATCTCCCAATGATGCGGAGCTGTGGTTCCATCGGCTTGCAACTTGGAGAGTTCGGAGAGGAAGTACACGTCCGTGATTGTGAGCTTCTTCGCCTGTCTCGCCACAAGTGAGATGTCTACGCTCTTGCACATTGAGGCGCTCCAAGGCACGCGAGGGCTTGAGAGGAGGAGGCTGTCCAAGGACGGATAAGGCGAGGGCTCGAGAGGAGGAGGTTGCCCAAGGACGGATGAGGCGAGTGCGACAACGAGGTCAAGCACGAGGACGAGGACGAGCAGGTCAAGGCGACGTTATAGCCTGCCGTTGGGTTACGTTTCAGCGCATGACATAAGCGGTGCGATTTTACATCGTTTCGAATTGTGCCGGTCACTGAAACTTTTGCTTTCCAGTACTCACCCCTGCGATATAGTACAAACAAGGGGGTCCTTCTGACCGAGACATGACTCATCCTGTCACTGGGGGCTACAATAATGTTTTAGGTTGCAAGAGATCAATTTTACTACGCACTCGACCAGATTTTGTTCATTTACTACACGGGATTTTCCGAGTTAAGTAAAATTTGGTACAATCAGAGCAGTCATGCTCTTGAGTAAACTTATTACTTAACTCACATTGCCGGCCCGCCCCACTCACAGTTGTCGCTGTGTCTCCCTGAGGCGGACCTGAAAGTTTAGTTACCCGGTGACCTTGCTTGACGTGCAAAGTGCCTTGGCATGCCGACGGGTCGAGGCAGAAAGTTTGTGGGAGAGGAGGAGGAGGAGGAGAGGAGAGGAATGAGACAGAGGGTCTGAAGCTCGTCAGGTACGAGAACTCCATCGCTCATCTTCTGTGGCCATTCAAGCTCTCCTCCTCCTATCTCTCTGCAATCGGACGTCAACTTGCTTACAACATGGTGATGACAGGTATGCCGGCAGTATGTCGAGGAGGTTTCTTGCTGCTTCTTGGGATCAGCCACGACATGCTAGTGGCCTCTTTTGCACCTCTCACTCAGAGAGCGTCCTCCTACCTTGAGCTGCCTCCTCGATCAAGCCCAATGAATGCGCTTCACAAGACAGCTTTTGTAGCTCGACAAAAGCTCTGGCTGAACTCGGTCATGTTTATCCTCTCCAGGAGGTGCGAGTTGGTGACCCATGACAAGCAGGTGCGTCAGCCGTCAAGCTTCACGGGGGTTCGCAGAGCTATTCCCCGAAGCTGGAGGCCATCAGGGAGCAGGGGATGGGTCGTGACAGGAGAGAGGCGATGGGCGTCGCGCATGAGCCTTGAGAATGACCTCGAAACGCAAGGACATGTGCAGCAGGGCAGGGAGCAGATCCCGCTCTCGGAGAGCATGCCAGGTATCGACATGCTGGTGGATGACCTGGCGCTGTCGGAGACTATGGATCAAGCTTGGCACAGCAACGGAGGTCCCGCGAGCTCCGACGACTCCTGCAGCAAGTTTGAGATCGACGCTCCCTTCTCACCCACGGGGGATCAGCCACAGGCTGTCAAGAAGATTCTCGATCGCCTTCGGAAGGGATGCCAGTACACGGTCCTTCGTGGAGCCACAGGGACAGGCAAGACTTTCACCATGGCGCAGATCATCGCAGCGTATGGCAAGAGAACTCTGATCCTCTGCCATAACAAGACCCTCGCTGCCCAGCTGGCTCGGGAGATCAAGAGCTACTTCCCAAGGAATGCCGTTGAGCTTTTCGTCTCGTACTACAACTATTACCAGGTCGATTACCTTTTCCCTCTCTCCCCTCTCCTTTGTGCATTGACATCTCCCCCGCTTCCATCTTCTCTTCCTCTCTCCTCCTGTTGCTCTTGTCTCCTCTTGTCTCCTCTGGTGGATGTGTTGAAGGGCTCCGCAGCCTGAAGCCTACATGCCCTCCTCGGACACCTACATCTCCAAGACCACGAGCATCAACGACGAGCTTGACGCCCTGCGGCATCGAGCGACCAAGTCTCTCTTCGAGCGAGAGGACGTGGTGGTGGTCTCGACCGTCTCCTGCATCTACGGCCTCGGCCTTCCCGCAAATTATCTCAAGGCGAGGCTGACGGTGAACGTGGGCGATGAGCTCTCGATCGAGAGAGCCTGCCGGCTCCTCAAGGAGATTCTCTACACTGAGTGTGAGAGCCCGGCAGAGGAGCTGGAGAGAGGCTGCTTCCGCGTGTCCCACTCCCCCTTCTCCTCGGACGTCTTGCTCTGGCCCCCTTACGAGGTCCGTCCCATCCGCCTGCAGCTCTCCGACGCCGTTCTGGTCGAAATAAGCACAAGCGACATGAGCGGCAGCGAGGAGAGCCTCTCCTGCATCAACATCTACCCTGCCCGTCACCATGTCATGCCCAAGTCGCTCATGGAGGCCGCGTGCCTCAACATCGAGCAGGAGCTCGAGGAGCACGTCCGAGTCCTCCGAACTGAGGGGCAGCTGGACGCAGCCAGCAGGATCGAGATGCGCACCAAAGAGGATCTGGTCCACCTGCGAGAGTCTGGCGTATGTTCTGGTGTCGAGAACTACAGCCGCCACCTCTCCTTCCGGGATCCCGGGGACGCTCCTGAGACGCTGCTGGAGTACTTCACGAGGGGCGAGGGGGGCAAGGACTGGCTCCTCGTCGTCGACGAGAGTCACGTGTCTCTCCCACAGCTGCGCGGCATGTACAACGCCGACAGGTCGCGCAAGGAAACGTTGATCAAGCACGGGTTCCGCCTGCCCAGCGCGCTAGACAACCGGCCTCTGCGAGAGGAGGAGTTCTGGTCCAAGATAGGAGCTACCCTATTCGTCAGCGCTACTCCAGGGGCCAAGGAGGAAACGTTGGCTGGTGTCTCAGAAGGGAGTGAAGTGTGGGAATACGAGCAGCAGCAGGAGCAGCAGCAGGACAACGGTGTTGTGGAGATGGTCATTCGTCCAACTGGAATTCTAGACCCAGAGATCGAAGTGAAACCAACCAAGAATCAGCTCAACGTCATGCTCGAAGAGGTTGCATCATCCTCCCCCTTGCTCTCTTCTCATTTCCTTCCATCGCCTCCTTCTCGCTCCTCTCTATCTGGCTCTGCTTCGATCGTTTCCTTCTGAGTGATCTGCCGCTTTCAGATTCAAGCCCGCAAGGAGCATGGCGACAAAGTACTGCTGATGGCCTTCACAAAGCGAAACGCAGAGGACGTGGCGGCATGGCTCTGCGACAACAATGTGAACGCGAGGTGAATGCGGGGCTACAGGGAGGGCGGAAAGAGTGAGAGAGGGGGGGAGAAGATGGTGGGCAAGAAGAGGACAGGGGGAACGAAAAGGGCAGAGGGGGCGAGGAGAAGGACAAGCAGCGATGTGCATGTCTGACGTTCCTGCAGCTACATCCACTCAGGTCTCAACACGGTTGAGCGAGCTGAAGTCCTGCAGGAGCTACAGTCGGGCGGGCTGGACGCGGTGGTGGGGGTGAACCTGCTGCGGGAGGGGATCGACTTGCCTCAGGTGTCGCTGGTGCTAGTGCTGGACGCGGACAAGGAGGGCTTTCTCCGCTCCTGCCGTGCGCTGATCCAGATCATCGGGAGGGCGGCGAGGAATGAGAGGGGAAAGGCGATCTTCTTTGCCGACCGTGAGACAGCAGCGATGAGGGAGTGCATAGAGGAGACGTACAGGAGGAGGAGAATGCAGCAGCTGTATAACGAGAAGCACAGCCTGCGCCCTGTCAGCGTCAGCAGGAGGGAAATGCGGTCTCTCTTCGAGCTCGAGCGCGAGTCACTGCGAGAGTTTCGCTCAAAGATCCCCAAGGAAGGGAAGAAAGAATCTCAGCAACCTAGAGAAGAAGACAGGGAGGAGGACGCGGCGGCTTCTGCCAATGAGTTCTTCACGGAGGAGGACAGCAGTCTTTCCGATTTCTCCTCCTCCTCCTCTCTCTCAAGTTTTTTCCCAGCAGAAATATCGACAAAGGAGGCGACCGAGCGGATGCAAAACTTGGAGAGGTTGAGGGCACTGGTGGATGCGTTCCCAAACCTACCGGGAGTCTACATGTTTAAGGGAGAAATCTCCTCCTCCTCCTCCTCCTCCTCCTCCTCCTCCTCCTCCTCCTCCTCCTCCTCCTCCTCCTCCTCCTCCTCCTCCCTCCAACCTCAACTGCGCACTTTATACGTGGGCAAGGCAAAGAGGCTGAAGACGAGAGTGAGGTCTTACTTGCGGTCGAGCACCGGCAGAGGGCGGGGCCTGTCGCCGAGGATCGAGGCGATGCTGAAGCATGCGAGGAGTGTGGAGTATATCCTGACTCCTGGAGGAGAGCGAGACGCCCTCCTGCTGGAGGCGCGACTGATCAAAGAGCTGCAGCCTCCCTACAACGTCCTGCTACGAGACGACAAGTTCTATCCCTTCATCTGCCTGACCCTCGGCGAGGAGCTTCCCCGTCTCTTCTCTACCACCCGCAAGCAGCAATCGCTTATCGGCGCCAGGTACTTCGGCCCTTACACTGACTCCTCCCTCCTCCGCTCCACTCTCGCCCTTCTCGAAGCCGCTTTCCGCCTGCGACGGTCTCGCTTTCAGGTCATGTACGGCAAGACTATGAGCAGGCAGGAGTACCAAGAGCTCGTCCTTGAGTGCCTGGATGTGCTAGAGGGGCGGGGCCTGGAGGTTGCGGAGAAGCTCGAGGAGCAGGGGAAGCTGGCGGCAGCTGCCGACGTCAGAAAACTTGTCGCGATGAATCCGGTGAGGAAGGAGCTTGAGTTCCTCGACTGGGACGCGCACGCGCCTCCGACAGACGTCGCTGCCATCACGGCCGTAGCGTCTCCGCGACCCTCCTCATCCTCTCATGCCAGCTGTGTCGCTCTGCTGCTGCAGCTCAGAAACGGGATGGTGAAGGGAAGAACCTTGCTGAAGCTCGACATCCCCAAGCTAGAGGACAAGGAGCACGGAGAAGAAGCTCTCGCCCTGGCGCTAGAGGAGGCGATCAAGGAGCACTACACCTTCACGCCGCGCGACGAATTCCCACAAGTTCTGCTCACTCAGGTCCACTCTTCTTCTCCTCTGCCCACGTCGCCTGATGTTGATACAGGTGGCGCTGCCGAACCCTGAAGCCGTCAGAGGTATGCTGCAGGCAAACTTCGACCAGCCGGTCGCCCTCCGCTCGTTGAAGACTCGAGGCAAGCACGCCAAGGAAGACAAGAAGGCGATCGAGCTCGCCATCGCAAACGCAGAGGCGGAAGCAAAGTTCATCGAGATGCAGGACAGTCGATCAATAGCCGGCGGTGACATGGCAGAGTTCCTGGGCCTTGGGAGGAAGCCCTCGAGGATCGAAGCCTTCGATATCTCCCACTGCCAGGGCACAGCTACGGTAGCCTCGAGAATCGTACTGGTGGATGGGATGCCAGAGAGACACTTGTATCGCGTGTACAAGATCACGAGCGTGCAAGGGGTGAACGACTTTGCAGCCATGGAGGAAGTGATCAGCAGAAGGTTCGCTGATGCTGACGAACAAGACATCCCCGACATCATCCTCGTCGACGGCGGTGCAGGGCAGCTATCAGCTGCACTTAAAGGGCTACAGAAGATATCGATGACGCATCTTGCTGGCAGGCTGGTGGCGCTGGCAAAGAAGAAGGAGGAGCTGTATCTTTCTCCCTCCCTCCCTCCTCTTGAACTCGATTCAGACAGGCCAGGGATGCTGCTGTTGAGGTTCGCCAGGGACGAGAGCCATCGGTATGCAGTCAAAGGTCATCACAGGCTAAGGAAAAACCATTTGTTTAATAGACAGAGTTTGTAAACGAAGCCATCAAGAGCCGCTCCTGCTCCTGCAATGCACAGCTGTGGTCCCTTCCCGGCCCTCTTGACCGCCCCAAGAAGCCCTCCTTCCTCCAGCCTCCCCCCCTGGTCGATCGCTGGCCGCCTGATGCTCCCAAGACGGCACATGATGACGTGATGCACGTTACGCTGAGTTGATGAGAGTCGCAGAGTTGACTGTCATTCCAGCATCACCGGGTCATCGCGCTAGTTCGATTGAATCTCGGTTCGTGGCAGTTTTTTACTTCGGAGTACATTGAGAGGTGCCCGTTGGGATTGGACGGGGCGGCTATCGAAAACATGTGGTTTCATAGATTATGCCAGTCAGTCATTGATTGTCATGATGAAAAGAAGGCGCTAGAATCGAGCTTGCCTCAGATTGTTTCTAACCGATGGATGCAGGCAGCTGCTTCTATTAGCCTGGAGGTGCTTCGCCAGCCATTAGCTCATGATTTCAAGCCGCACGGCCAGGTGTTCTCTTAACACCTGGAGGAGATGAAAAGACTCTTTTTCGTGTACTTCGGTTTGGATTTGTGCATCTGGTCTTACATAGAAAAAAAGCCGTGAACAACTGCTGACAATTCTGAGACCTCTGTAAGTGAAACGACTCCTTATCATATCTCCGGGTCTCCCCCTTTATTAATTTCTCTCGCCTCTCCGTCCTCCTCTGTTTCCTCTTATCCTCCAGCCCTTCCCTGCTCCATCCATCCCTCCTTCTCTCAACTCCTCTCACACCCAGTCGACAATGCTCTGCCGTCGTAGCTCTGAGCTCCTGATCCTCTCACAACTTCGATCTCTCCGCCTTTCAAGCACTTGTGGGTCTCCTCGCGGATCCTGGAAGGCCAAGCACCAGCCCAGCATCCCGACGTCCTGCCGGAGAGGAAGCTGCACTGCGACGCCCAAACTGTTTTCTAGCTTGCAAACCTCAAGTTTCTGTGGCGGCCACGCCAGTCTGCATGCCAGACAGCAACGGGAATTCAACGAGGAACGAGTTCGCTGCAAATGCACTGGCTGTATCTCGTGCAGTACAAGCACCATAGGCGTTCTATCCCAACCTTCCATCGACTCTGCTGGAAACGTTTCCAACGAAGGGGCTCTCGGCGTAATGATGAAAGCAGCCCATGGACTCGGTCCCTCCATAGACAGGGAGGGTAACTTTACGACATCTGTACATTAAAAGTGTTTATACAACCTGGCAATGTAGCCTGCTGCCAATGCCTCATGTAAACCCCTCAATTCAACTTGATATGGGCATCGGATAGCTCTCCTCAACAAATGTTGCACCGCAACTACTCGGCACCTCAACTTGATGCCGAAGAACATTCCCGATGACCCATACATCTCCCACGGCCATGACGACTGCCAGGCGCTAAGGAGCGGCTAACAAGACAACTGTGACTTGCAAGGAAATGAGCGCTAAACAAAATCAGGTTTGGATGAACACCCGGAGTCTGGTGGTGATATAGCTGTTCATTGCATCGCACAAGTATAATAACCTATGACTCTATCAACACTATCTATGAACAAGGTCCCATGTCATTTATACACACTGACGCCATTCGGGACAAGGAGTCAAGGAGCGCTCTTGCATCGGGCTCTATCTCCTTCCATCACAAAGTTCCCCGCACGGTCGATGGATGGGCCAAGCCCTGACCCGGCCCTCTTGACCGCCCCAAGAAGCCCTCCTTCCTCCAGCCTCCCCCCCTGGTCGATCGCTGGCCGCCTGATGCTCCCAAGACTGCACATCATGCACGTGACGCAGCTCGGCGATCGGCAGGCGACCTGCTGCTCCTCGAAGTCCTCCAGCTGCCGGGCGTACATCCGAGAGGGAAGAAGAGAGAGGCTGCTGCAGTGTAGGAGACGGTGGGGGCGGGGGGGTGAAGGCTGATGGTCTGCAGAGACACCAGCAAGCAAGCTGAGAGGCTTGGGAGCAGCGCGGGGAGACGCGTGGACGGACAGGCGGCGGAGGGAGCGCGAGCATCGGTGCCACATCTTGTCAGTCGTGGTCACTGGCTCGTCTTCCAATCTCTCCTGTAGCCGTGCATCTTCAGATGCCTGGGTCGCCTGTAGATCGCCTGCGCGTTCTTGGCCGTCTTCTCGCCTTTCCATCCGGTTAGGTATACGTTCCATGGTGAGCTCTGCAACTTGCCATTCCTTGTAACCTGAATCTTGCGCGTGCTGTAGAGCTCTGCAGATGCGTTGTATTGTTTCTCGCGTGTGCACATGTTCCATACCCCCCCCCCAGAGCCCATCCAGCAGCAGATGTCTTGTTCGCATGAGCCATTGCTGATGGGGGGGGACGCCTTGTTGCCTCCCTGTGTTGAAGATATCTTGTTGTTGTGTTTTCCTTCGTGTCTTTGCGATCAGCAGCAGATGCAGCAAAACGAAAATTCCACAATTGTAGCCGTCTGTTTGTTGCAGCCCAGTTGACACACATGCCCTCCATGCCGTGTCGTCACAGTGTTCTTGTTGATCGCTAATTGCCTCGGTGATAATCGTCGCCATGAGTGATGCTAGGTCCATTCGCTGTGCGCCCCCCAATTGAAACTGTGCCTCCCTTTGGCTTCTGACTGTCCCCAGGTCTCTCTCAAGGGCCGTGCTAAGCGAGTCGACGATGTGTATTCTTTTTGTGTTAACATCTGCCACGATTAGAATCCAATGATTGCCGTTCTCTACGCAAGGGAATAAGAATGGTTGAGCTGCCCCGGCTAGCAGTCGTTTTGCTCTCCGTGCCCTTCCCTCCTGATCTCTCAAACCCGCTACTATTCTCGGGAGAACAATGGTCCCTCTCTGCAGCCCAAATTGGTTTCTAGTTTGCTCGTTGGCATACCTCGTGCCTTGGGGCCATGCTATTTGAAATCTGTCTTCCGCTGGTTCTAAATTGCGGTTTACCTCAACGATTAATGCCTCCATAACGTCCTCAGAGAGAAATCCATCTTCTCCTGAGTTGAGCAGCGCCGCTGCTCCGTACTCTCTATTGTTTTCCCGTAGACTCCAGGGGATCTCCCCTATCAAGTCGAATGTTTGTATTGTTCTGTTTTTTGGATTTTTTTTGTCATTCTTTTTCTCACCTTCTTGTCTCGTTCTGCTTGATTCCACCACGCCCTAAACCCTAAACCCTAAGGAAACCTTGACATGGGAGGCAAGATACCATCGCTCCTACGATCCTAAGATACCATCATTCGGATCCGAGGCCCCGGCCCGGGCCTGGGTGATAACGCCGAATGGCCCCGGCGAGTGACAGCGTACTACGGTACTCGGGGGCTGATTACGATCTGAAGTCCCAGGCTGCCACGGAAGGCTTCCGCTGGCCGGCAAGCGGCCATGCCGTTCACAAACCCATATGCAGCCCCTAGCAAATCTGGTCTTTTTTTTTCTACTTTTTTGGGGGTTCACATGGGGTCCGTATATACACTCCCTGTTGACTACGGAGTACCCCCTGTTTTCACCGATCAAAGGGGGGGTAGAGAGACTGGACAAAAGCGGGGTGGGGTGATTTGAATTTCTCTGGCGTGGAACCCTTCCCCCGCCTTGGTTTTAGAGGTACTGCAATTTTAGTTTTACCCATCACATACATGGTAGTATAGATTGTACTGTATGAAAACATATTGGTACAAAAGAGAGGTTTCCTGGTACAGAAGTTCCCCCCTCCACCACCCTACCCCCTTCGTATCGGTAGTATCTCCTCACAGAGGATATTCAATGATGCAGGAGATCAACACAGGAGGAGGAGGAAGAGGGGCTGGGAGAGAGGGTGGGAAGGGGTGTGGGAGAGAGGGTGGGAGGGGCAGATAGGAAAGAGCGAGGTAACTGAGATAGAGAGTGAGCTGGGCTTGAGCGTCAAGGTGAAGAGCGATGAAGGCACTGAAGGGCGGAGCAGATCGGATGGTGCAGTGGGTAAAGGGGCTGAGGAGTTTATAGGCGGAGACTCGTTTGTTTTACTACAGGATCGTGTACTGGAAACCGTGATCTGCTTATTACTTTCCTCCTCTTTCTGGTTCCAACCGCTCAACTTCCAGGAGCAGTTGCTATCTTAACGGCTCTAATTCTCGAAGAGCCATGCGAGAGGATGTGCTTTTGAGGATTAAGTGTCGACTCCGAAGAGATCAGTTCTGCCAATTAGGCCGTCCTCTGGCTTTTGATGCCTGGCAGTTCGGCCTCACTGGCACGCCTCGCCATCGACCATCACTGATCATGTCTCCAAGTCTGCCGTGCAGTGCCGCTGCAATGCCCAGCATGCGTTCCATCGCCGCGGCCTGTCACGGTCAGTGTACCCCCCGGGTTGGCCCGGCGGTCCGGCCCGGGCCGCCGCCTTGACTCGATCCGCCGCCGCCGATGATCATCGGATCGGTCCGCGCGGCGTGATGTTCAGCCTGAGGCTCAGTCCGAGTCGCCGAGTCGCCCGGTGACTGAAGCCTGATATCGAGTACGGTCAACAGAGTCACTCAGGGAAGGGGCCGGGCGAGCGGGCCTCGCCGGGAGACCGAGAGCCTGACTCACAGAGTCAGCTGCTGAGACTTGCCGGGTCACCCGGGGTACTACGAGGAGAAACCAATCATGGAACGCATGCTGGGCATTGCAGCGGCACTGCACGGCAGACTTGGAGACATGATCAGTGATGGTCGATGGCGAGGCGTGCCATTGGCAGAACCGATCTCTCAGAGTCTTCGGAGTCGACACGGAGTAAAAACCTTCCCAACCGTCGCGAGATGTTCCTGTCATGCTCCTCAAAAGCACATCCTCTCGCATGGCTCTTCGAGAATTAGAGCCGTTAAGATAGCAACTGCTCCTGGAAGCTCAGCGGTTGGAACCAGAAAGAGGAGGAAAGTAATAAGCAGATCACGGTTTCCAGTACACGATCCTGTAGTAAAACAAACGAGTCTCCGCCTATAAACTCCTCAGCCCCTTTACCCACTGCACCATCCGATCTGCTCCGCCCTTCAGTGCCTTCATCGCTCTTCACCTTGACGCTCAAGCCCAGCTCACTCTCTATCTCAGTTACCTCGCTCTTTCCTATCTGCCCCTCCCACCCTCTCTCCCACACCCCTTCCCACCCTCTCTCCCAGCCCCTCTTCCTCCTCCTCCTGTGTTGATCTCCTGCATGACCACGACTGACAAGATGTGGCACCGATGCTCGCGCTCCCTCCGCCGCCTGTCCGTCCACGCGTCTCCCCGCGCTGCTCCCAAGCCTCTCAGCTTGCTTGCTGGTGTCTCTGCAGACCATCAGCCTTCACCCCCCCGCCCCCACCGTCTCCTACACTGCAGCAGCCTCTCTCTTCTTCCCTCTCGGATGTACGCCCGGCAGCTGGAGGACTTCGAGGAGCAGCAGGTCGCCTGCCGATCGCCGAGCTGCGTCACGTGCATGATGTGCAGTCTTGGGAGCATCAGGCGGCCAGCGATCGACCAGGGGGGGAGGCTGGAGGAAGGAGGGCTTCTTGGGGCGGTCAAGAGGGCCGGGTCAGGGCTTGGCCCATCCATCGACCGTGCGGGGAACTTTGTGATGGAAGGAGATAGAGCCCGATGCAAGAGCGCTCCTTGACTCCTTGTCCCGAATGGCGTCAGTGTGTATAAATGACATGGGACCTTGTTCATAGATAGTGTTGATAGAGTCATAGGTTATTATACTTGTGCGATGCAATGAACAGCTATATCACCACCAGACTCCGGGTGTTCATCCAAACCTGATTTTGTTTAGCGCTCATTTCCTTGCAAGTCACAGTTGTCTCCTTAGAGCCTGGCAGTCGTCATGGCCGTGGGAGACTCAGAGGCGATGTACTAGTGGAGTACGGTCAGTGGGTGATCGGGGATGAAAAGCTATGGCCCGTTTCCCGCCGGCTCCCAGATTCCAGATTTTTGACTTTATTCAAACTAATTTGAAATTTACCCCGAAATATTCACCGGTGCTTTCAATACATACTGACAGGGGGTGGGTCCACTGCCTGTTCATATTTGATGCTCCCAGCGTACCCTCCCTACCTTCTAACAATTTTTCTCGATTGAGCTAATAGTATATTTCCATATAGTGCCTGCCCATTCGAAAAGCAAAATCTGGGAAAGTCAACCGCATCGTTTCATTCTCAAATTAAAATGACTTATAGTTGAGTTCTCCAAAACATTTGGAGTAGAAAAAAAAGAATTTGACTTATATTTGTATGAAAAAATCTGGAATCTGGAATCTGGGAGCCGGCGGGAAACGGGCCTATTTCATCATCTCACTCCCAGTTGTCGAAACGTTACAGAACGGTTACTTTTGCTCGGAAATAGGATGTTGGAAGAAATCCAGGACGATAACGAGGAGGTGAGAGTAGTAGTGCGAGGGAGAGGAGAAAGAGCAGAAGGAGAGCTGAATGTGAATGAATCCTCAGCTTCCTTGTACTTATTCTTCTTCTTGCAAGATGGCTGCTTGAAGAACCTTATCCTGCTAAAACATTTCAATACACCTGCTTCGACATGGACGGCCACTTGGAGAAAGCTCTCAACAGAGCTGAGTTCGCCATCTCCTTCGAAGATCTCGAAGTACTTCACAGAGATGGTCACACTTGTTTGCTAGTGTCTAAGTGCTGAACTGCTCGTGACCATCAGGTTCAGATAGGGTGAGACTGGTGGGACCAGTCACGGGCTGCGTCAAGTCTGGGGAGGTCAACAAGGTTTCGGGGGGTTGTTTGCTGACCGATGATCCATGCCTCAGGTTGCCACGTTCATCGGGCCATCTAGCTTGACGGTCCCGCTCATGAATGGGCTGAGGAGTATCTACCCCTGTGCTGCTTCTTCAGGTATACGTCCTTGGCTCCCGGTGCCCACTTTGACGGCCATCGCACTTTAGCATACAACGCTGTGCACACTGGGACGTTTGTGGGAGGAACAGTGACCTGGAATGGCCAGGAACCCACTGTGATGATTGACTGCTCCTTCTCCCGTGCCAGCTCCTGCTGATCTTCACCTTAGGACGTTGATCCTAGAGTAGTCGCATACGTCGACTTGGAGGCGGCAGACGTCATGCCTGAGCAGCTGACCAGCTTGGAGATCCTATTATACACCATTCAAGTCCGAGTCACTTTTCTCAGTACTGCGGAGCAGGTCCCCAGCTAGCTGGGAATGTGAGCTAGCTCTGACACCTGTGCTAGTCTGGGATGGCAGATCAGGTGCTCGACATGTTGGGGATAGCAGAGGTCAACAACACGCGCTACTGTGACCTCTCCCCGGTTATCCCTGCAGAAAGAGCTGCCAGCCTTTGGTCTGATGAAGATGGCAGGCGAACAAGAGGATTCTTCGAGTCGCCCGCGAGATCATCGGATGTGCAGGAATGCTTCTGCTGAACAATCCTACCTGCCAGCTCTCCCCTTCTCAGGTGTCTCATCCTTCCTGATATGATCACACTGACAGTGAGTGGTGGCAGTCTGTTGTCTTTCTCGAGGCCATGTCTCGCCTCAGGTCCTCCGCTACTCTTGCTCCCGCTCCTCTAACCTTGTCTCCAGCACCTCCCATGCCTACGCCGTGATCATGGCAGTCCCTCAAGTCCCTCCAGGCTGCCTGAGCCTCTTCTCTGACATCTTTGTGCTGGTTTGTGCTCCCCGTCGGCTTGTGCGGAGGCGACTGATCCTCTGCCTGCAGTCCAAGGACGGCAAGACCATCTATCAAGGCCCCGCCTCCTCCTTCAGCACCTGGTTCACCGCAAACTCGCTGGACAGGAAGCACTTCTCCGGATTGAGCGGCTCCTCTCTCGCACTGCTCGCCGAATTCTCTACGTCTGACATGCTCAGTCATGGAATCTTCATGCTCCCTTCCAACCAAGTTGGAGCCCATCGAGCTCCTGAGCGTTTCTCACCTACATCCCTGCAGGTCGACAAGTACCTTGTCATGAACGCAGACTCCGACTCCTATCGCTCTGCTCGCCGCAAAGCTCTCGAGGTCTGCCCGAGCTTGCATGAGAGTCTTTCCCAGCTAAAGTTGCTGTCAAGGTCCGCAGCGGCAAGTCTCCTCTTCCTGCTTTGATTGGACGAGATGGCCTGCCCAGCTCAGACCGAGCAGACCTGCGATGGATCTCTGCCATGCTCGAGATGGAGGTGACATGAGTAAGGAAGATTCGAGACTGACAGGCAGACAGTGGAAGCTGATCGCCAGAGATTCGCTAGCAATCCATCGCTATGTGGTCGACTACTTCCCCCTTCCTCCTCCTCCTCCTCCTCCCCTCTTCTCCTCCACAACCATCATCCCGCCCTCCATCCCGTCGTGCACACGCCACTGCTCATATCCCGGCAGGTTGCCCCGCTCTTTCTCGGGATGCTTCTTGGTCTGGTCTTCTCTCGCCTTCCCGGTGCCTCTCCCTCCCTGCTGCTGCGCCATCTCACTCTCCTAGATGAAACTGTCGCCGTTGGCATGCAGGAGCGTCTCGGGCTCTTCACCATCCTCCTCCTCTGCTTCACGTGACATGCGAGGGACATGGAGAAGTTTCAAGCTAAGCCCCCGCAGGTTGGACAGCGTGAGGAGGCGAACAGCGCTCGAGAAGAGGATGTTGTGGTTGGATGTGTGTGCTGGAAGGATGACGCTGCTTGCTCACTCACTCTTCGTCTGTTCCGGAGAGCTCTTTGTCAAGGTCTCAGCCCTCTCGTTTCTCTTCTCGCCCTCCCTCTTCCTTCTTCTCTTCCATCCCCTGCTTCCTCTGCTTCCTTCACCTTATGGTCTCTTGCGGATGCTTCTGACGGATGCCAACGCGATGTAGATGGGCCTGAGCTCAGCCTGCATGGCCCTCAGCGTTTATCTCACAGCAAGCTTCAAGCAAGAAGTTGGCGCCCTCCTCTCTTTCCTCCTCCTCACCGTCGCCTCCGCCTGGGCCATCGGCATTCTCCCCATCTGCTTTCAGGCATTCTATCTCTCCTGTGATAACCATCATCTCCCTCACAACGACATCTTCATCTTCACTATCGATCAGCTTCCATTTCCTGGGCACAACTGACAACGCGCTTGGTACAGATTGTTGTTTCAGGGAGTGAGAGGAGCATCAAGGCTAGTGCGCATCTCTCTTCTTCTCCGTTGCTCCTCAGTTGGGCTGCCGGATTTCTCCTCCTCCTTTTCCTCCTCGTTGCCGGGTATCCGTTAGCTCCTGTTGACCTTCCCTTCCCCCTTCCTCTCCTCCGCTCTCTCTCGCCCTATGCGTACGCGCTCGACTGCTTTGTGGCCAACCAGGTGAGAGCTGCGTGCTAGAGTGTCGCTCACAAGTTCGCAGATGGGGGGAGGAGGAGGAGAGCTGGGATACCCAACAATCAACGTGTTTGTCCACCTTGTTGCTCTAGCTCTGGTAAGCGATGCATGAAGGCACGGGGATGGAAAGGACTGAGGGTCTGACAACCTCGTTAGCTCGTTGTCTTCTATCTCATCCTATCCGTGGCGCTCTCAAGGTCCGACTACATTCTTGGTGTCCTTCTTCCAAGGTGCGGTTGCTGCTCTTCTCCTTCTTTCTCACCTTGTCGTCCTGCTTCTCGTCTCTCTCCTTTGCGTCAGGGTGGGGATGAGGGTCGCTAGTGACGTGCAGGCGAACCTGCGCTGGTGTCGCCAAGCATGTGGTGAGGCCTCGCGCTCTCTGCCCTCGTCCAGTGACAGTGCGGGCAGGATGGCAGGAGCACGAGCCCTTGCCGGATGAGGAGCGAGGGGATGGACGAGGAGGACGGACAAGCTACGTGTAAGAGTAGCTCGGAGGATAGTTGGGGTGTACATAAGAGGAGGGGAGGACGTATACTGCTGAGGTTATGAGGAGGTTAAAGCTTTTTCTGTTTCTCTTCCACTTTCTTCAAGCGTCTCTGCACCAGAGCTCGGGGTCGCCGGGTTGAGACGTGCCGGGATCAGCTGAACAAGCCGCCTTGATCATGCTGCCAAGCGTTTGAGATAAGAATACGCACACGATTCCCTCCCATCTCTCCGCGCTGCTCAATTCCTTCCCCGAAAGTTTCCTCGGACGAGCAGCAACAAGCAGCAGCTTCCTCTCCCTCTTCCTCTCCCTCTCCCTCTCCCTCTCCCTCTCCCTCTCCCTCTCCCTCTCCCTCTCCCTCTCCCTCTCCCTCTTCCTCTTCCTCTTCACCACTCTGACCTGTTGTAGCTGCTTGGCGACTTTTCGCTGTTCAGCGCAGCCATGAACTTGAACATTGCACCCGATATAAACTATAGGGGTGGTGCGAAGAAGCAGGTAATGCATAGGTAGGGGTGGGGAAACGAAGAGGATTTCTGCAGGAAGTGGGGGTGGGTGATCAATGCAGGGTCTATGAGTCGCTTACAAATAGGTGGGTGATGATGAGGATTTAGAGGGGGTGGTAGTCTAGGGGGTAGCGGGGGAGGAAAGAGAACAGTATGGGTGGGTGGGCATCGACAATGACGCAATCAATAGAGCAAGCAACATGCAGCGAGGCAAAGGGGAGCAAGAGAGGGAGGGAGGGAGGGAACAGATGAGAACAGATCAGATCAGAACAGATCAGAACAGATCAGAACAGATCAGAACAGATCAGTAAGCCGAGGATAGGAGAGAGGGGAGGGGAGAACAGAGTCCATCGAGGTTGAAACCGCAGGGAGAGGAAACGTAACTTAAGAGAGTAGAAACAGACAGCGAAAGGGCTGATTGAGAAGGTTCCTACTTGTCAAAGTGAGTGACAAACGAAAGCAAAACATATTCGGTGTAGAGATTAAGATGAGCACGTTGGCATTGGTTTGATCTCTCTTACTTGCCCTTAGCTTGTGTAGCTTCTGACATGTCGTGTTCAACAGGTTCGTCTGATGTGCAGATGTGCTCTCTTGGCATGTCGCATCAGTTTGGCTCTCTTGTTTCCCTAGTCCTCTTGTTGTTTGTTGTGCCTGTCAGCTCAAACTTCCCTACTCCAGCTCCTCAGGTGACCCTCCCATCCAATCCCATGCGAAACATTCCTGTGGGGTTGCTTTCGATGTTGTCCTCTCCTTCTTGTCCTCTCCTTCTTGTCCTCTCCTTCTGTCTCTCCTCCTTGTTCTCTCCTTCTTGTCCCCTCGTTGTCTCTGCCTTCCTGTCATGTCTTTGTTTTTTCGAACATGCGTGACGTGTGAGATGGCGGCTCCTCTCGAGGCCTCGTTGATATGAGGGTTGTGCGACTCAGGCGCGGCTGAGGATGGAGAGGCCTGGAACTTTCACCAAGTGTCCCTGCTGCAACAACCCCTGGTCGGGGATCGAGGGCTCCTTCGCAATCGCGTGCGGCCCCTGCATTGATAGCAAGCAGACTACGGAAGGTATCGACGCCTCCGACTTCGATGAGTTCGTTCCGCCCCATGAGAATTTCTACAACTTCGCCATCGGAGGCTGGAGAAAGAACAACCCGATTCCTCCTGAGGTAACGCGGAGCAAGGAAAGGGAAGGAGGGAAGGGTTGGGGGTGGGGGGGGGGAGTTGCTGAGGATAATTACACCGATGGAGGAGCATAGAACAGTTGAAGGGGTTGTGACCTCCTGTGCAGTACCCAAGCTGGAACTGCTTCACGATCTTGCATGAGAGGAACCAGCAGCGGCTGAAGGAGATGGTGAACGAGCTCGAGACCAAGGAAGGCTGTGTGGGAACGGAGAAGAAAGTCGCTGACTTCTGGGCGAGCTGTATGGACGAGGAGGCGATCGAGAGGAGAGGGACGGAGCCGCTTAAGTCCCTCCTCGATGCTGTCTCGGAGCACAAAGTGAAGGAAGACATCACCGCAGCTGTCGCCAAGCTGACCCTATCCGGAGTTGACTCGACGCCTCTGTCCTTCTACGAGAGCCCAGACAAGAAGAACAGCGAGTGGAGCATCGGACAGCTTGACCAGGTGAGAGAGAAATGAGCAGCAGCAGCAGCAGCAGCAGCAGCAGCAGCAGCATCAACAGCAGGAGCTGACGATTTGCATCTGCAGGCTGGGCTTGGACTTCCTGATCGAGACTACTACTTCGACGAGGACAAGCAGGACAAGCGAGACATGTACAAAGAGCACGTGACCAAGATGTTTTCTCTCCTCGACGACTCGTCCGTGAACCCTGAGGAGGCTGCTAAGATTGTCTTGGAGATCGAGCAGAAGATCGCTGGCTTCCACATGACACGAACGGATCGCCGGGATCCGGAGAAGACGTACAACAAGATGTCAGTGGAGGAGCTACAGAAGAGGATCGACCAAGACGGGGGGAGCGGAGGCCTCCGACTGGACAGGTTCTTCGCGCTCATCGGCAAGCCAGTGGATCAGCTGGGGGAGATCAACGTGCCGACGCTGGAGGCAGTGGTGAAGATCTGCCAGCTGGTGAAGGAGGAAGGAGCGAGCAGGCTAAGCGTCTACTTCAAGTGGCACGTGCTCCACTGCTTCGCCGCCTTCGACCTGCCGCGCGTCTTCGTCGACGAGCATTTCGAGTTCTTCGAGAAGAAGCTCAAGGGCACTAAAGAGCAGAAGCCTAGGTGGAAGCGAGCCATGGCCGTGCTGGAGTCCGTGCTTGGGGAGGCTCTGGGTCAGCTGTACGTGGCCAAGTACTTCCAGGAGGAGTCGAAGCAGACGGCGCTGGAGGTGGTGGAGCGAGTGCGGGAGGCGCTGCGGGAGCGGCTGACGGAAGTGACGTGGATGTCGGAGGAGACGAGGAAGAGCGCGTTACTCAAGATGTCCAAGTTCGGAGTGAAGATCGGCTACCCCGACAAGTGGATCGACTACTCGCCGCTCGTGGTGGTGCGGGGCCAGCACTTTGAGAACGTGCTGCAGGGCCACGAGTTTCACTTCAAGCGCATGCTCTCCTACACCAATGCGCCGACCGACCGATCGCGATGGTGAGAGCGTGAGGTCAGCAAGCGCAAGGGTGCAGGGGATAACGATGCAGGAGGAGGAAGAGGGGGGGGGGGGGTGCGGGTTGTGGAGGCAGTGAAGTGAAGAGGCTGGTCAGGTACATGACACCGCAAACCATCAACGCGTACTATCATCCCTCGATGAACGAGATTGTGTTCCCTGCCGCCATCCTCCAGCCTCCCTTCTTCAGCCCCAACGTCGACGAGGCGATCAACTACGGCGCCATGGGCGCTGTTGTAGGACATGAGATGACCCACGGGTTCGACGATCAGGTTCCCTCCTTGATATGTCCAATCCAACCCCTCCCTCCTTCCCATCGTAACCCCCCTCCCTCCTTCCCATCGTAACCCCCCTCCCTCCTTCCCATCGTACCCCCCCTCCCTCCTTCCCATCGTAACCCCCCTACCTCCTTCCCATCGTACCCCCCCTCCCTCCTTCCCATCGTACCCCCCTCCCCTACCTCCTTCCGATCCCTCCTTGCCTCCTTTCTTGCCCCCACCCCTCCACCTTCTTGGCTTCTCCTCCTTTCCTCGAGGCTCTCTCGCCCTTTTCTCCCCTCACCGCCATTCTTGCTGCCTCACCTCCCGCTGACCACGTGGCTCAGGGCAGGAAGTACGACCATACAGGCAACATGGTGGATTGGTGGAGCGAGGAGGACGGGAAGGAGTACGAGAAGCGAGTGGAGGTGATGGTGCAGCAAGCAGAAGCCTTCAAGGTGCACGGTCAGCCGCTCAAGGGAAAGCTCACGTGCGGGGAGAACATCGCAGACCTCGGAGGGCTCAAGCTAGCTTACCGGCAAGTCGACTGCATACCACCATCACATCCTCTTGCTCTGACTGCTCCTATTCCAATTGCTTCTACTACTCCTCCTACCACTACTACTACTTGTACTCCCACTTCTACTTCTACTGCTTTTACCAATACTGCCCACAACAACTCTATTCCCAACACATCCTTCTCGTTGGAGTCGAACTCATACTCGTACTCACATTCCTTTTGTCTTTGTGCTCTTGTTCATTTGTTTCTTCGTGATTGTAAAACGCTGGCAGGGCTCTTTGTTCCCTCCTCAAAGCCCGTGGCCTCACTCCCCAAGACCCCAAGACTCGCGTCGGAGGGCTCACAGCCCAGCAGGTCTGCAGCTCAAGCTGTCCGTGCACGTTTGACACTCTTGACAGCGATTCTTCCTGTCCTGGGCTAAAGTCTGGGCACAAAACATCGAGAAGGAGAGAGAACTCCAGGTGATGGCACATCATCATCATCATCATCATCGTTACCACCGTCATCATCATGACCATCATCATCATCATCATCATCATCACCATCATCATCATCATCATCATCATCATCATCACCACCACCACCACCACCACCATCATCACCATCATCATCATCATCGTTCCTGATTGGTTTGCTCCTAGCTTGTTACTCTAGATCCTCATGGACCCAATGAGTTTCGTGTCAACGGACCACTCGGGTAAGCGGAGAGAAGCAGACTTGGGTTATGAGGAAGAGACAAGGGAGTGTAGATAGAGATTGAAGGAAGAGACAAGGGAGTGTAGATAGAGATTGAAGGAAGAGGCAAGGGAGTGTAGATAGAGATTGAAGGAAGAGACAAGGGAGTGTAGGTAGAGATTGAAGGAAGAGACAAGGGAGTGTAGATAGAGATTGAAGGAAGAGACAAGGGAGTGTAGGTAGAGATTGAAGGAAGAGACAAGGGAGTGTAGGTAGAGATTGAAGGAAGAGACAAGGGAGTGTAGATAGAGATTGAAGGAAGAGACAAGGGAGTGTAGATAGAGATTGAAGGAAGAGACAAGGGAGTGTAGGTAGAGATTGAAGGAAGAGACAAGGGAGTGTAGGTAGAGATTGAAGGAAGAGACAAGGGAGTGTAGGTAGAGATTGAAGGAAGAGACAAGGGAGTGTAGGTAGAGATTGAAGGAAGAGACAAGGGAGTGTATGTAGAGATTGAAGGAAGAGACAAGGGAGTGTAGGTAGAGATTGAAGGAAGAGACAAGGGAGTGTAGGTAGAGATTGAAGGAAGAAAAGGAGAGGGCTGGAGGCGAAGGGAGGAGGGAGGGAAGCGAAGCGAAGGAGGAGGGGGGGGAGCAGGGAGTTGATAATGAGAGCAGAAACATCCCGGAGTTTCACTCGGCCTTTATGATTCCTCAAGACACGCCCATGCATATCTCAGCTAAACGCCAGGTGGACATCTGGTGAGAAAGCAAGGCTGGGAGAGATACAATAAGTTTTACTGTTTGTGTTTGAGAGTCAAAAAGCGCCTCCGCCTCCTCCTCCTCCTCTTACTACTTGTACTACTAATCCTCATCCTCCTCCTCCTCCTCCTCCTCTACCCGCACATACGTGTCACCGCGGCTTCTCTAGGTCAGCCCACAAATCCGCTGCTTCGGATTTGAGTACCGCGATCGAGGAGAGAGCGGAAGGCAGGGGAGGCTCGAGGACGCGAACTCCCCACAGACCCTCGTCGGTCAGCCACAGCAGCGTCTCCAGCTCTCTTAGGCGACACAAGGATACTCTGCATCCTGGGAGGAGGCTGTAGCGCTCCCCTCCCTCTGCTTGCCTCCTCCTCCTGCTGGCTCGCCAAGGCCTCAGGGTGAGCGCGCAAGGCAGGGGAGCTCTGCCGGCTAGCATGACGAGACCGGCTGGGAGGGAGAGGACGAGGGCGGTAGACGAAGTCAGGCGCGAAGGAGGAGTAGAGAGGAACGTCCATGAGCCGCTGGTGGGCGGAGGAAATGGCTTCCTCGGTCAGGTAGTTGGGCGGCGCCTCCTCCCCCGCCGTCTGGGTTGCGTATCTCTGACTTGGCGGCAGGACGAGGACGATACGTCTGCTCTGTCCTCTCCACCTCCACAGCTGGGGAGGAGGTGACCTTGTCCGTGAGACCCTCCCGCCCAGCCGTCTCGCGTGTCCTCGTCCTGTTGTAGGGGTCGAAGACTTCGCCTGTCCCAGCTGGAGGCGAGGAGACGAAGAAGGGCTCGGGGACTTTCTTGAACCATTTCTTCGACTCGCGGAGCTCCAGCGCTGAAGAAATCAGAGGAGCCTCCTGCAAGGTTGTGAGGAGAGGAGAAGGGAAGACAAGGGAAGACAAGACAAGACAAGACAAGACAAGACAAGACAAGACAAGACAAGACAAGACAAGAAAACAAGAAAGCAGAAAGGCAAGACAAGACAAGGGAAGAGAAGTAGAACCTGATACCCGGCTCTCAGGGTCCAGAACGGTATGCGACTGCGAGAAACAAGTAAGGAGAATCGAGGACGAGGACGAGGACGAGGACGAGGATGAGGACGAGGACGAGGACGAGGACGAGGACGAGGACGAGGAACCTGTTAGGGGTCGCGGCTCGAGCAGCATTGTTTGGGGGCTCCTTCTCCTTCTCCCAGAGCTACAAACAGAAAAAAAAATTAAAAGAGACAAGAAAATGAGAAGACGAGTCAAGAATATGAGATGCAAGAGAAAATGAGAGGAGAAGAGCAAGCGAAAGGGAGGAGGGGAAGGAGGGGAAGCGAAAGGGAGGAGGGGGAGGAGGGGAAGCGAAAGGGAGGAGGGGAAGGAGGGGGAGGGGAAGGGGAGGAGGGGAAGGAGAGTGAGGGAGCGTGTTTACCCCATGAGTTGCCTCATGTTGCTCTCCTTTGCGTTGAGCTTGAGGTCTGATCGAACTCGATTGTTCGGGTCCGCGAGGGCGATCTGTGCCTTGAGGAAGAGCGCGTCCTCCCGGTCCTCCAACCTGCCTGACCTTGAGCACGTGCAAGCGGACGAGTGACGGACAGACAGTCCAGCTGCAGCAAGAGGAGGAGGGAGGAGAGAGACTGGTAGGATGTGTAGGCGATACCTCTTCCTCATGCTTTTGAAGTTCTTCGCTGTCTGCTTGACCGTCTTGTCTAGCTCGTTTAGCAGGCGGCTGGAGCGGAACTCTTGCAGGCTGAAGGAAGTTGAGGGAGGTCAACGAAGAGAGGAAGGAGCGTGAAGATGAGGGAGGGGAGGAGGAGAGAGGAGAGAGGAGGAGAAGAGAGGAGGAGAAGAGAGGAGGAGAGGAGAGGAGAGGAGAGGAGGAGGAGAGGAGAGGAGGAGGAGGGAGAGGAGGACCTGCTCCTCGTCTTGAACTTCGGCGCTTCCTTGTAGCCCATGAAGGTGAAGCTTGCGGGATCCTCATACTCCACTTGTCCTGAGATGTGCGCGACGGGGTCGAGAGCATTGCGATCAGGATTAAGGCACGTGGTGGTGGCATTGAGATCTGCCAAAGGAACGGAAGGTGAGGAGACGAGACGAGAACAGAGGAGGGGGGGGGGACAAGATGGGAGAGAGTAGCAGGACGATAGGAGTGTGAAGACCGCAAAGTATCCTAGAAGTTTGTCTCAGTTTTTCAATCTCATGCGACCTGCAGGCATAACAATCACACGCCGCAGCCAAGAAGAGCAGCAGCAAGAGGAAGAGAGAAACAGAGACAGAAAAGGAAGAAGAGGGAAGTGAAAAGAAACCGAGTCTTCTTCGGCGGTTTAGTCTCCTCGTACTTTTCCTGTAGCCAGACATTCAGAGCCTCCCTTTGTAATCTCTTTCACGATGGTCCAAATCATCATCATCATCATCATTACCATCATCATCATGTCATCGTCATCGTCATCGTCATCGTCATCGTCGTCGTCGTCGTCATCATCATCATCACCATCTCCATCGTCATCATTGACATCTCCATCATCATCACTTCCACAACCACCAACAGCAACAACATGAATATCATCATCAAAATCATCACCACCACCACCATAAATATCATCAGCCTTGTCGTGAGTGCCATCATTGTCATCGTCTCAATCCCAATCTCCATCATGCTGTGTACCTGACACTTCTTGTACTCCTCAGAGCTCTTCCACAGAGGCACGAGCTATCGTGAGAGATCAGGACAATGACGAGAATAAGGAGGAAGAAGACGCCAAGTTTGACCACAACGAAAAGCATATCGCGAGGATCAAACTCGATCGGACCTTTGAGACGGCGTCTTCGTATTGCTCATACCTGCAACCATTTAGCTGCTGCAAGTCTTCGCTCCTCGCTCACCCTCTCTGATTGTGATGCAGATTCTCCTCCTTGCGCTTCTGCATCAACTCCGTCCTCGTCTTCGGTCGCTCCGGCTGCCCCTGCCCCGCAGCCTCATCCATTTGCCCAGTGAGAAAAGAAGGAATAAAGCAGGGGAAATGAGGAGAGGCAAAGACGTGGAGGGGGCAGATGGACAGATGGACGGAGATGGAGATGGAGATGGAGATGGAGATAAAAACCTCGCCATCAGGTTTCACTGGAACAGTTTTGGGTCTTGTACTCGTGAACTTGGTGAGAGGATGATTGTCTTTCAGTGCCCTGCGCCATCATAAGATGTCCTGCTAGCTACTTCTCCTCCTCCTCTTCCATTCAACCGATCCTACACCGCCGACGCCACCTTCCCTCCCCTTCTACATCTCACCTCCCTTGTGCTTCGTCACCTCACTCTCTTCGTGTTCTCACTCCCCGCTCCCTTCCTCCCAGCCCCCGCTCGCTATCTCAATCCCGACTCACAACACCTTCCTATGCTCTGCAGGCTACTGCTTCTCCTTACCGTAGCGCCGCATCTCGTTCAGGTGTACACAGTTTACCGTCACGGTCTTTATCGTACTTGACTGAGAGGATGTACTCTTCACGAGACACGATGCCATCGCCATCCAGGTCGAACGTCGGGTCAGGGATCTTGGACTTCCTGCGGGCCTCCAGCAGCTCTGTCCTCGTCCTGTGCTTGGGGTCTTGATCCCAACCCCCCGGCACCGACATGCCCAGCTTCCCTCGGTCGTAGCGCCCCAGATCCACTTCCTGCGCGCATTTGAACACCGCAGGCGCTCCCTTGACCGTCTGATCGAGCGTGCGAGGAGAGAGGGAGAACATCACAGCCTTGCTGTGCCTTCCGCTCTCCTTCCTCTCTTGCACTGCCTGCCCCGTCTGCTGTCGCGAGCTCTCACGCTGGCTCTTGGATCTTGAGGAGGAGGCCCTTCCTTTTGCCTCCTTCATGTTCGTTTCCGCCGTCATCCCCTCGTGCTGGTCATGGCCACGTCGGACTTCTCTCACAGCAGCCGAGCTGCATCATCCTCTTCCTCTGCTTCTGTGCGAGAACAGGTCAAGGAGGTCGAAGAGTCAGCGATCATCAAGTCACGGTCAGGTAAGGCATGGCAACATCTGATGTTGGAGCTAGCATGCTCTAGTAATCCATTAGAGCCTACAGACTCAGGCGCAGAGAAGTCCTAGCATTGTCAAGCCTCGACAAGAAGAGAAGATGTGGAGGCTGGGGATGAATCAGGAGCAGCGCAACATGGGTGCTATCCGTTGTTTTCCAGTCTTGACTTCACCCATCCTACCCATCCTTCCGTATTTTACCTTCAGTCATCTCGACTCATTGGGTGCCCTCATCACATCTCGTCATTCTTCCTACCCGTCCAAACACTCAGAACCATCCGGTCTCACAACCTTACCATCTTATCCAACCCTTCCACACCTCTTTCACGTGTCATGCTATCCTTCCTTATTGTCAAGCTGTTCGCATTCCTTGCTCTCGGGCATGCTCTCCTATCTAAGAGCCTGACTCTCTTCCTTGCCCTGTAGACAGCGTCTTCTGCTCTTCTCCCTTCTTCTCCCTTCCTCGCGCTTCCTTCAATGCTTGCATCTCGGCAACGGCCTGGCCGTTTATCGTCCGTTATTTTCCGTTGGACTCAGCTCTGGGGCGGGTCCGGTTGCTGACCGATCCTAGGAACCGTCACGGTCTCGGGACCGATTGCTCAGCTAGCGCGATCTTCTACAAACTCTCACCGACGCAGTCACGGTGGCCCGGGCCCGGAATCGACTGGTCAATGCCGCAGTGCCGAGTGTGCTCGATACAGTCGACATCCGACACCACTCACTGAGCCACGGTGACCGTGTTGCCTACCGTACCGGGCCATGATTGCTGTGGACTCTGGTGGAGAAGGATGAGCTCTTCCCGGAGAAGATTCATACGTCTTATCACCCTGGCGATTTGCTGACGAAGGTGCTACCTTTTCATGCTTCAAGCCTTTCTGCATTTATGTCGGAGGTTACTACCGTGCCGCCGCGACGGGCCGGGCCGGCTCGGCCGCCGCGAGTCAGTGGGCTCAGTGTGGGTCGGCCGAGTTTTTTTTTGTGGCACATCCTCTATCTTCTATCATTATGATCCGATTGAGGGAGGGTGTCTCGGACGTTGCCACCGAGTCCGATCCGTGTCCGATCGCTTGTGAATCATCAGTAGGGTCACGGTGTCTCGGCCGGTGATGCCACCCAGGAGACCGGCGTATGAGAACGTGCACAGCCGCAGGACATACTCGCTCAAGTCGCAGGATAGGGTCTTGCAGTCTACCATCTTTGCTGATTTTCCTGAGCGAGACCTGAGCCACTCTCCGATGCGAGTCTCGAGCTACTACCCCTCAAGGCCTTCCCGCACCGCTATGCTCAGATGCTCGACTGCTGAAAAGTGATCTCCATGGCGGCACTGCGGCATGCCGATCTGCCAGTGTCCGACGGAATGTGATGGATGTCAGCGCGAGCTCGATCCCTCCGTTGCTGCACATCATCTCCAGACCTGCAAACGCCGATCCTCTCAAGCTTCCCACGGCGCATGACAACCTTACTCGTACGATTCGGTCGATGCTGAACGAAGCTGGTCTTCAGAGCGTCATCGATACAGTGGGGGATCCTCGTTCTCGACGGCAGGTACCCTCCCATCCTCATGGCCGCAAGGTGAAGGGCGATCCTATACCTTTTAAAAAAAAAAAAAATACCTAAAGTAAGGTATAGGATTTACTGGCAGAAGGTAAAAAGCGCCTCAAGCAAAACAATTGAAGCAGGAACAAGCTAAACCTCCTGGCACACAGTCCACAGCGAGAAGCTGCACAATCACACACAAAACACAAGCCCGAAATGAACCAGCACTGCTGGCACCCAGACGCGGCACCGCCAGCCCAAGCGCGAAGCCGCGCAGACAAGCAGCCTAAGGGTCAGGCAATCAAGCAACAAGCAGCAGGAGCATGCAGGAGGAAGAAAATCCCTTAGACGCGATACCCGGAGTAAAATCCCATTATCCGCCTGGGGCAGCGGACGCTCCGAGCGGTACCGTGTTCCTGTGTCCAGCCTCCCTCCGTCCGCTGCCCCTGGCGGACCCCCGGGCAGCGCCCGGGCTCCTTGTCGGCGGCTGCCCTTT